TATGCGTCATCGCCATTCATTCTCGACATACAGACTTACATGGGCTCGCGTGCCTCTATTGTTTGCACAAGCATGTTCATTGTTAGTTCGTTTTATCGTTTAGCTACACGTTGAATAAAGCTGTGCAACGTAATGACGTTTGGACAAGGAGTGCTAAATAGGACGAGGACATTGGTTGTGCATGTTAAGGTGCTAAATGCTCATTGGTATGAGTCACAAAGCCGTGCTAAATGGATGAGGCTCTGATCGATTCTGGGAGTGTTTGAACTGACCGGGAATCGGCAGTCGGTCGTGGTTTCCATGAGGAATGTGAAGTGGCCTCACTCGTCGCCTGGCCACGCGGCTTCATAATCATTTGTAGTCGATCTATGTCTTACCCTGCGACCTGAGACCTTTGCCTATTCAGAACTATCGCTTAGTGAATATGCATAGATAAACACACATGCAACGCATATAACCAAAGCACTTTGCAAATGGAGCATCTTAATTGGTGTTTTGTTCGCTTATAACAGATTAGACAGCAGGTTAGCGAGCTTTCACTCTAACTCGTGCTCAATCAAGATGACTCAAAGTTTACGGACGCCTTTTTGCATCTATAATTAGTGATTCTAGCCGATAAGGTTGTATCTCGCGTGCGGCATCTGACACGGCCTCGCCATTCACAGAAGCTCCAACGAATAGGCGGAGGCATTTCGGGCGGCCGCAATTTTCGCCTTTATTCTCGGTGGCTGCGAGGCAGTGCGCTGAAAAGCAAGTGTGCCGGCAAATGGTCCTGTCTGCTCGGGGAGCGGCTGGGGGCGGGTCGGGGCACCTCCCGCACATTAGGCCGGCCGGCGCCGCCCCCGCTGCACGGGGCGAGCTGTCTGCGGTCCAGTCCAAGTTCCAGCGCTCGGCGGTCCGGTCCGGTCCACCGCGCTGGACGTAGTTCGGACCATCGCTGCGGCTACGTGGTTCGTCTACTTCCCAGTCTGAACACAGGGTCAAACCACCGATATATCAGCAATTCAGCACACAAGCACGGCTGATGAGACGATTGGCTGTGATGCTTGCATACCGGCAGCACACAGCGATGAAATTTTGTGACATCCTGCTGGGAACAAGTTTTCAGCATTTATTCGGCATTGTTTTCAACTTTTCAAATTAAATTTTAGCTATCTAAGACTAAGACGATTACCACTAAGAACCACTAAGACCAGCTATCTAAGAACCGAATAAATCCCGACGGCTTCCTGCTATGCATATAACCCCTTCCCTGGAATAATCGCACCCCGACACGTGCCCTGTCGCGGCGCCGCGTTTCATGTGGCTGGTCCGCCCTGCAGTCCGCGGCCCGCAGCCCGGGCGGTGACAATGGCACTGACGACCGCGACTCATCCTCTGCCAACAGCGGCGCCGGGGGTGACTCGGAGCTGCTGACTCACAGTCAGCTGGAACAGCGGAGTTTGTGCTGTCAGCCGCTTCAAATGGGAGGTGGTGCTGCAGGCAGAGATGTGTGGAGACCATGGCGAACGACTGTAGTTACCTATCGCCATAACAGCCATCCTGTGGACTGCCAGCTACAATAATTTACTGTCCTGTAGATGAGCCATACACCGCAGGTCATTATTTGTAGGGAAATAAATGGCATTTTGATTATGCCACACCAGGACCGCAGTAAAAAGATCCACCAGCGGAGACAACACGAACGCAGGGAAAATAGTCTGCTGCGTGTATTGGGTCCGACTCGCGCTGCTCCTATTTCGCTGCCCAACTGCCACCCCGTAAATCATCGCCTTTTATTTGCCTCAGCTGGAATGGTACATCAAAAGTTACGACACTTCTGTGACTGGATACTGTTCTATTTTGCCACGGTGTCCCTTCCACGAGAACAAAGAAGTCATAAAAGAAGGATGATCTATTTCTCTTGTTATACACCGTCATAACGCGAATGAAAAGCATTCGATTCATTTCAATGAGCTTTATGTCGCAGTGGACCACCGAAGACGGCCCGTTATAAGTTGAGTGACACCGCTCTTATTGCAAGGAGCAGGCCGAAAATTTCTACGCACATTGCTTTATGACACACAGTGCACGTGTCTCCCTTCGGATCCCTCCGGCATTGTATCTACAAAGATGAAATTCATCTTATTCACTCTATCCAGACGTTATAACATCCGGAATCATGCTGTTTGGCACCCTCCAACCCGCGTTGTCACGGCGTCGGCTCTGTGTCGGCTTTTTACCTGTGGCCGTCAGCTGCGCAGCTAATGTGTCGGATGTCTCGCTGTCAATATGCACAGATCGCCGACACGAGCTGATGTCGGGCCGGGCCTCGTCACTATATGTATAGGCGGGGTATAGAGGCGACCACTCAGGTTGCGAGGGGAGAGGGAGTGCGATAAGTGATAAGAAATGACAAAACGGCAAAAAAACAACAACGATGAGTTTTGCTCGGCATCTATCTACCGTATATGAAACTGAGGATTACTCGTAGCACCTTCATTCCAATAAGCTATTGAATAGACCTAACCATTTAAATCATTCGCAAGGTGAATAGGGGAGAGTGGGGTAATTTGGCCGGTGGTGTAAATTGGCCGCCCCCACCTGTACGCTGTCTAATAAAAGTGAGTGAAATAGCTCTAGTCTCTATTCATTTGTCATGGGTAGAAATAACTGGAGGACAAATGTCAAAACTTTGCGCCTCGTAGTTTTATTCAAAATTAATAAAACGTTAATTTCATTAGAAAATGGTAACTTTTCCTTCTGTTTACAAAGTTGTATAACATGTAGTATTTGGGCTAAAAAAGAATTCAGACATTATAGCGCCATTCTTGGGGGTGTTCAGCGGTTCCAAGAGCAATTTTATCTAATTCCGTATAGCCGTGATGACTTTATAGACAAAAATTTTCAGAATGACAACATGGGGTAATTTGGCCGGGACTAGCGGGGCAACTTGGCCGGTGCGCTCATGGTCTATATGCTGGGACGGCCGAGTTTTCATGGTCAATTGTACCATAAATGACATGATTCATGACCAACTTTGACTACTTTGATGCCTTACTTCCGATTGGTGAACTGTAAGAGCATGTGACGTCATCAAAGGTTACCAAAGGTTTTTTGCTAATAAATCATTACATAAAAATGGTATAGCCTCACAAATGGTCTCATTCTGTTCAGCTCGCCAATGCGCATCGAATGATATGCATGATGGCCTTGAAATCACGTGACCTTGAGGTCAAGCGACCATATGCAACGTGACCTGAGGTCAACCTTTGACCTTGACTTCTCAAGGTCAACACATATATCTTTCGATGCGGACTGACGAGAGAATTACGATGGTACTCGAAGTTTTGGCCTAGCTTGATTACTTCAAAAGTTATTCGTAAAAAACTGTCTTCGCATCTAGAGCCGCTAATTTGGCTATTTTGACCCCTGTGACCCCTGAGTCAACCTCCAAAATGCGGCAAATGCGTCATAGGTCACACGTCATTGCTGAATCTGAAGCTGACTCGCAATATAACAGAAAATCCCGACCGCAAACTAACACCGGCCAAATTGCCCCACACCCCCGGCCAAATAACCCTGCTAGTGGGGCAATTTGGCCACCTTGCAGACCTTTGTAATACGTCACAATTTCAATATAAGTAATTACTCTATCATTTCAAGTTCACTGTCCAGTAAAGTAAAATGAATACGACACCTGCCAGCGTTGAGAAAATGCAGAAATGTGTCGTCAATTTTAAGTTATATCGTTTTCTAAAAAAAGCGGCCAAATTACCCCACTCTCCCCTATTTGTTAGCTTATAAAAAGACCGTCTATTATATGAGCTAAGACACAATACGCTCAAATCTTTCTTCCGTATTCCTGCTCCCAATGTAAAATGTGAAAGCGTTTGCCGTTGGTTTGCTTGCAATCGGCAGCATTATTATTCAGGTCCAGAACACTCTGCATTCTTTAGTGCACGTGAATGAATTATCGATCGGAGTTTACTTAGGATTCGCTGCATGAACAGGATCTCCTGTATCCGATTGTCTATCTTTACGATAGTGTTTCAAAAGCGATTTATCGCCAAACATCAGCTAATTCAATTAGCCATTCGAGAAAAAGCGGTTTGTAATCTCTGGAGCGGCGGCACCCGATGAAACATAATCGCCACGGCTGCGGGCAGGTGGCACGGTGTAAATCAATCGATAGTGACTCGTTGGGTCATCCTATGTCATATAATATAGAACCACGCGTCTACCTGAGTGCGGAGCTCCTGCAGGAGCTTACCGGACGACCTGCGGCAGGCTGCTGACCTTACGGTACGACCTGCACGGCAGGCTGCTGACCTTACGGTATATATACGACCTGCGGCAGGCTGCTGACCTTACGGTACGACCTGCACGGCAGGCTGTTCACCGTTACCGGGGATCATTCTACTGCTAATCCCCACGGCGTTACCCACGCATCGGCCTTTTACGGACATCAGCGTTCTGACAGCGCTTCTGAGCACTCTTCTGGCTTATCACCGATTGACGTATATGTATATGCGCATACAGTTAAATTAGCCAAACAATGTAAGCGTGACGCGGGTAACATGGATATACCACGGAATGTCGTAGACTATATACCAATTCAATTTATGTATATTCCGTGCGTATACACTATACGCGCTGATAAAGGCTTTTTCAAAAAGAGACGGTATGATATCAAACATTTGTAGTGTAATGTGGATTGTAAGGTATGTAATATACCATTTATATTATGAATATATGCAAAACATACTAAAAAATACTGAATGAGAACAAGCATGTTCTTCCAAACTAGATGTAGAAGTACGTTCTGCGAACCATTGCCACGATACACTGAAAGCATTTTTACACTCACATCGCCGTATTAACACCACCTAAAGGTGTAAATAGCAGACTGAGCACTATACGCAGGTCTATAACACGGCAATTACGCTTAGAAGCTGATCAAAGCGAAATTACACCTCGTTGGTGTGCAAATCACACTCATACAACACCTTATGGAAGTGCAATTCTGAACTTTAACACCTAACTTTTGTTCATTTACGAATAACACCTTCCTGTAGAGTAGATGATCGCGCTTCATGTGTGCTGTGTTATTGACAAAGGATCCTTGATCTGCGATTGCCGCATTTTTGTTTTGGCTCAACACTGCTCTGAAGTGTAATGTACCGGACGGCAAAGGCGCATGCGCGCGACGCCGCTCGCACCCACGCGGCTTTCAGTGCGCCATTGTGCTTCAACGAACGTGGTTGTTAGTGTGCTGAGCTGGTGTGACTATTGAGCATTGAGGAAGACCCACCTGCTCCGGAACGGGTAAGTAGGTGACAGCATTTTCGAGATTATACCTTTTCTCGAAAAATTAGGTCGTGCGCGTGATTTCCAAAGCTAATTTGTAATGCAGGGATGGCAAAAATGAGGCGCGCCGCGGTGCTGGCTCTGCTCTGCTTCTCTTGATGATATTTATGGCACTATAGGATTATTGGTTTTTGCTTCATCCTTGTTTAATACTAGAACTTCGTGAAATTTTTACGTTTGGAGACCTTCGGTGACCTCAGCAATGACCTGTTCAAAAAATGACCTGAATGATTCCGAACGATCTATAACGAGCTATCTGTTGCTTTTGTCTGCGTCTTAGCTATACTTTCTATAGATAACCTGGTGTGCTCCCCTCCCCCCATGGCAAAGTTGGCTGAGAGGCCCACCCGGGCGCGGGTTAAACTTTCCGGCAGCGGCAAGTATGAGTAATTTCGCTTCCCATGTGTGCTTCAGAGGAGGAACTCGAACACCTTCTACTCGAGATGCGTGAGGAGCAGGTCGTTTTTGGCCCTGCGACAACGAACGGACCGTCCACCATCGCAGATGGCGCACTTTGGGTCGAAAGGGAGAAGATCGCCAAATTCCAAACAATGGCGAACATGCAGGACGAGCTGTCCATCACGAACATCGCTATCTTTTTCGAGCGCGCTCGAAGGCGCTGGACTCGAACGCCTAGCCCCGGTTCATATCTGCAGAGGACTCGCCGTTTCATGTACTTGTTGCACGGATCAACGTCCAATAAATGTTAAAATATTCTGACATTATACTGGTGTTTATTCTTTGTAAAGAGCGTGAGCGCGACCGATGCAGGGGAAAGGGGGGGAGAAAGGGGAAGGGGATCTGGAATCAACAACACCCGAAATCGGATCGATATATACACTCGGAAGGCGTGCTCTGCTCTAGGTGTAACACTACAGTAAAAGGTCAATCACGAGTGTACCCGCCTTTTTCATCCGCCTGGAGAGTGTAAACGTGCAAAGTCAACGCCCCGGGCGAGTGTCTTGTTACACTTTATTTGAGTGTAAATACTACACCTCAGACGAGGGCAAAAAACGCAGAATTTCAGCTACACCCTCCTGAGGTGTTTACACCCGAGGAAGGTGTAAAAAAGTTTTCAGTGTAACGAGCACTGGTCACTGCAGAGTATGTTGCACATCCTGCACCCCAGCTTCTGACATGCCAGTTCTGACTCTGGTGACTCCCGCTGCTAGCCCCGCATAAGTGACGTCACTGGTCGCACGGTGATCGGCGCGGCGGTGTTACATTCAATTCGCCACTGGACAGGCGCACTTCATCATTGGCTGAAAACCTTGTGACGCGTCAGATGTGTTAACGCCCTGTTGCACAATGTGTGCCTGAAAGCTCTTCTCCTATCCGGCTAAATTGGTGATAAATGTCACTCAATTACCAGATAACCAGAATGAATGTTCACCGCAAAAACATAAATCAAAATGTTCTGCCGTTTATTATGAGCGATAACGTCAGCGACGACGACGATTTTCAAACTGTGTAGCGTTATACTGACAATCTCTTAGGTAGAAATGAATCATATTGTCTGTTCCAGGAATTTCACACATTCCTGGCAACTAACATAGGTATCGAGCAGCTAGAGTTTCGCCTAAAATAAAAAAAGCTCCGTTTATCAAAATTGAATGCAACTACGAATTGAATGAAGGTTGCTATAGTGATGATAACCCGCGCAACGACTGCGCCAACTTCGTACCGACGGGGGGGGGGGGCGGATGATCGCCCCCCCCCTGAGATCTCGAGAACGAAGCAAGATAGCGACAAGCGGTAAGCGGCATCGGATACGCACGGACAAGGTCTACAATTTTTACTAAGGTCATTTTCAGGTCAAGTCAAAGATGACGTCACAGGGGTCAAAAAAGTCAAAATGGCGGCGCTGGATATGGAGAGGTTTTTCTCGAATAACTCTCGAATTAGTCAAGATAGGAACAAACTAAGGGCACCATCGTGATCCTCTCGTCAATCCGCATCGAATGATTTATATATATATATATATATATATATATATATATATATATATATATATATATATATATATATATATATATATATATATATATATATATATATATATATATATATATATATATATATATATATATAAATCGCAGAACCCACCGGGGCTGCCGTGCCGGGTGGAGGCACCAGCTGCGGAGAGGCAGAGCACGTCGGCCGGTGGATACCGGGATCCCACCGGGTGGCGCCTATGACCGGTGCCTGACCTACCCGCCGCGACTCACTGCGGTTCAGACCGAGAGGGCCCTCAGATTCATCAGCTCAGGAGGCGACAGCCGAGGGCGCCAGCAGCGCCGAACGACCCGCCCACCGCTGAGGATAGCGCACTTAAATGTTCGGTCACTGATGCCATCTATGGATGAAGTTAACTACGCCCTACAGGGGAAGGCCATTGACATTCTGTGCCTCAGTGAGACATGGCTTACCGATAACATCGACAACAGTTTTCTCATCTTCCCGGGCTACACCGTGCTGAGACGGGATCGGCCTGCGCGACCCGGTCGCCGGAGGGGAGGTGGGGTCTGCATCCTCGTTCGTGCCACGCTGCGCGCGGAGACTCTGACGGTGCCGGCGGGTGACTCCCAGCTGGAATCGCTGTGGATCAGCATCCGCAGCACTACCACGGCTATCGTCGGAGTACTCTACCGCCCTCCGAGCGCTCCGGTGGCGGCCGCTCTCGACGATCTCCAGACTCAGCTGGCGCACGTCATCAGCACCGGGAAGCCGATTTTCGTGCTCGGTGATACGAATTTTGACAGCCTACAGCCCGACAAGCCCGACGTCCGCCGGTATCTGCAGATGCTCAGCGACCTGAACACGAAGCAGCTGGTGACCTGTCAGACTCGACCTGCGTCTGGGACCCTGCTCGATCACGTCCTGGTGCGTGCCTCTGATGACGTCACCACCGCCAGGGTCGAGCCGTGCAGCTGGTCGGACCACGACCTGGTGATCGCCGAGACCACGCTGCAGCGGGAGCGCCGCCGTCCCGTCGAGGTCACGATCAGATCGACGCGGGACCTGGTGCCTGACGCTCTCTGCCTGGACCTGTTGGTCTCCGACTGGTCGGCTGTGTACGGATCGGCTGATCCCGCCGATAAATGGAGGGCGTGGCTCGCCGTGTGGTCGCCGGTCATCGACAGGCACATGCCGGAGAAGACTATCAGGCCGAGACATGCACCTGCACCATGGCTCACCGACAGCGACGACCTGCGAGCTCTGATGAGAGAGCGGGACCTGGCGGACAGGGAGAGGCGAGAGCGGCCGGCTGACGAGCTGGCGAGTCAGCGGTACCGGCTCTGCCGCAACCGCGTGAAGAGCGCTCAGCTCCACGCCAAGTCCGCCTTCTTCCTATCGTCTTTCCGTCGGTCTCGGCGCACTACATGGACGGACATCAGACGGTTTCTCATCTCACCTCGGACAGCAACACCATCTACATCATCAGCTCCGAGCGGTACTGACTGGGCGGACAGCCTGAACCGATACTTTGCCGCCGTCGGCCCGCGCGTGGCCGCCGCACTGGAGGAGGCGCAGCGCGTGGTGGCGCCACTGTCGCCCCGGCCGACCCGTGTAGTGAGCGGTGCCTTCCGTGTTCGCCCAGTGACGCTGCCTGAACTGTCGGCTGCCATCCAGCGCATGTCGACATCGAGGGCGAGTGGCGATGACGGGGTGACGATCGGCATGCTGCGCATGACATTCCCAGTGATAGGACCGCACCTGCTGAACATTATTAACGCGTCCCTCGTGTCTGGTGAGCTCCCAGCCGAGTGGAAGGTTGCCCGTGTACTGCCGTTGCACAAGTCGGGGCCAGTAGACGACCCGTCTAACTACCGTCCGCTATCGCTGCTGCCGACTGTCGCTAAGGTGGCGGAGAGTGTTGTGTGCGGTCAGCTCATCGCCTACCTGCTTGCGCACGACATTCTGACCGAGACGCAGCACGGGTTCCGGCCTGGCCGATCCACGGAGTCGGCGATGCTGGACACTGCCAGTTTTCTCATGGAAGGCCTGGATGGCGGCCTCATAGGGTGTCTGACGACCGCTGACACCAGTAAGGCTTTTGACAGTGACCAGCATCCCCGGCTCCTGGAAAAGCTGGGCTGGTATGGAATCGACGCGCACTGGTTCCGTGACTGGTTGTCCGACAGATGTCAGGTGGTTCGGGGTGGTGAGGAAGTGAGACCGATCACTCACGGCGTGATTCAGGGGTCGCTGCTCGGGCCGATCCTGTTTTTGATTTTCACGAATGATCTAGCATCGTACCTGGACACAAAAACTGTTATGTACGCCGATGACGTTCAGTTTTTGCATAGAGTATCACCAAAGCACATGCCAAAACTCAAATCAGATGTAGAGAGCACTTTAGAGATCGCGAGTCACTGGTTTGTTCAAAACTGTTTGAAAATCAATCCCACCAAAACAGATCTTGTTGTTGTAAAGTCACAAAGGCGCCGACTCGACACAGAATTTACTGTTAAATTTGGTAGTGCGACGATTCGTCCATCTGTAGCGACCAAGATTCTCGGTGTGGTAGTCGACTCCGGACTGACTTTTGAATCGCATGTGACCGCGGTCATCCGCCGATGCTATGCCACACTAGGGGGACTGTCCAGATCCGCTCGCGGCCTGCCGCGAAACGTGAAGCAGATGATCGTGGAGATGTTAATTTTCCCCCACATCCGATACTGTATGTCTGTGTGGTCGGGATGTGGCGTCGTGCAGCGACACCGTATTCAGAAGGTGATAAACCACTGTGCACAGGTCGTCATGGGGGTCCGACGCTCGGCTCATGTGACGCCTCTGTTGGCAGAGCTATGCTGGCCCCATATAGACAGGCTGGTGGCGGAGAATGACTGCAGTACTGTGCATTACTTGTTGAATAATGTTCATGCACCGAAGTGCCTCTCTGAGCGGTTTGTACAACGCAGCGACGTGTCGAGCAGACAGACTCGAGCCACTGAGAATATGCAGCTCGAACTGCCGAGGGTCCGCACCGAACATGCTCGCAAGTTCTTTTATTACCGCGCCTGTGACGTTTGGAACTCGCTGCCAGCAGACATTCGGTCGTCACGCACGTCGGCCACTTGTCGCAGGCGTTGTCGACTATTACTCAATGGTGACTAGTCACTGTGCGCGTAGCTTTCGGTCATTTGTACCGATATGCATTTTACTTTTTAAGTCCCATGCTTTTCATGGTTTTTACTTTTAGCTTAAGTGTTTATTTTAGCTTTATATATGTGCCTACCTATTTACTGTATGACACTTGGACTGAAAAGCCGTGAGTGCATGGAGCTTCCAAACGAAATAAATGATGATGATGATGATGAAAGGTTGACCTCAGGTCACGTGACCTCGAGGTCATCATGTATATCATTCGATGCGTCTTGACGAGCTGAACACAATGAGACCATCCGCGCGGCTGTATCTTGTTCCTGTACGGAGTTATTGGCCAAAAACCACTGGTGATCTTTGATGACGTCACATGACCTTACAGCTGCCTAACAGCAAAACAGACCTCAAGGTAGTGAAGGTTGATCGTATATAAAGTCATGTATGGTATATGGTGCCATTCCGACCCGTTTTAGTAGTAAAAACAGGGAGTTGATTTTTCCCCATTGACTTATACCTACCTAATGGGGAGGTCGAGAAATTGACCTGACCTTAGGTCACCGATATCAAAATTCCGAGATAAACAAATTGTAGCTACTAATGACCTCATAACATCCTGCGACTTTCAAAGGCCTCCGACATCTACTGTAGCTCTGGCACGGTGACAAAGTTGCAAAAAAGTGACTTGAGGTTGGGTCATTCAAAGTGACCTGGTGACCTGACCTTGAAAGTTAGGAGGTTCAAACTTGCACACCATGTGTAAAATTGATGAGTAAATAGTCGTACCAACTTTCGCGGCGCTAGGCACCGCGGTTTTCCCGCTATTCGCGAAAAACCTCAGGGGGCGGATATCCGCCCCCCCCCCGTCGGTGCGCGTGTTAAAAGTCAAATGCTACGGCGGTGGATATTCCTCAAAAACAGAAGGGAAGTCAATACGTGGCTGCTGAGTTATCCGGACCAGCACAGCGCGGGTCACACAGATCCTTTTTCACGCGCCTCTGCCATTCGGTGACAGGATAACGCTCTTAACGACCAGCTCAAATGCCTGTGTTCGGCCGCCTTTTGCAGTAGAGCTCATCGGCGACTCGGCGACAAGGCTCTTGTTTCAGAAGTGATGTCTGGTGCCCACGGCATAGCGGGTGTATTGTACATACTTATGAAATGTCTCGGTCTTCAGTGTTAAAACTGCATGTACTGGAAGAAAGGCAGACAGGTGTCATTTGGTCTTTATCACCGCCATCGATCACTTGTCACCTGTCACCTGTCACCTCTCAGCTGTCACATGACGGGTCTGCAGCAGTGTCTCAGACCGCTCAACTCTCAGTATAAGCGGGTCAGAAACCGTCTCTAATTAGCTGACAAACCACATTAGGCATACAGTTAAAACATCGGTGCGGCCTGGGTTAGAGCAGCGTAGCGTATGTAGACACACCACATGCAGTCCAATATAGAACTGATGAATCGAACTGCACGCAACATGACATCAACTCAGCTGTAAGCCGGATCTGCTGTAATTCGAAGCTGATGTTACAGATGAGCATTCCAATTTACATATTCAAGAAATTTACTACGTTTCCCTTGACTTCCTGGAAGAGACAAATGCGTATCAATTGAACCAGTTTGTAGGATGCCATTTACAAGGATGTGCAGTTTACGTCACCTGATCTGACCTTATATCCCTTTGACAAATTTCAACATTCCATGTTTCGACTCAATATCCTAGTCTTGAGATGAATCTCAATGGTCTGGCAATACCGACGATGGGATTGTACCAGTCATCCCCTCATGCGGGTCGGCCTTGGAGCTAAGCTGCTGTGTTTGGTGATCAGTTACAGTTGACAGTCCTCTGGTTTTTCACGCTGCTGTAGTTGTTTCAGACGTCTGGCGACGAGCCCTCACTCTCAGACGTGCTCAGTACTCACCCCGACCGGCCGGCCGCGCCCGTGTCAGCCCACCGCCGACGCGAGCCGCCCAGTTCAGCACCCCGCATCTGACAGCACAGCGGCCCTGGCAACCGGCAGTGTTTGCCTTCTGATAAGCTCGCAATCGATTTGTCTTCGTTAGCTGAGGGTGGCCGTCTCTCGAAACCACCCTCATTCAGGTGACTGTCAGATTCGAGGAAGGTATAACCCGCGCCGTGGAGGCTTCTTACCATCCCTCAGGTTTGGTTTATAAACATCCGAGAAAATGAAGTCGTTACGCCTAAGGCTGTTACGCCGTTCATCGGACACATTTCCTAAAAGCTAGCATATTTCTTCAGGACATTGCAAAAACAAATGGTACTGCTAAGCCACCTTCGAGACCTGACTCGTTATACAGCAGTGAGAGGGCTTCAGAAACATGTTTTCATGATAGAAGGACTCGCTGATAAACAAGCTAACACGGCTTTGAGGTGCGTGGCAATGCACTGATGTCGTTAACGGTGTCCTACCGAATTTCCGCTGAATGTTTGCCAACCGTTCAGCCAGCAACTACCGGCTTCAGTAACTGCAAGGGACCGACCAGGTATTGTTTTGTATCACAAGTCTCACACAGTAGTCATGAACTGGTGGAACGATCCCAGATCTGAGGGACGGGCTATCACGCGGGCTCGAGTGAACAAAGGGGTGTTATTGCACGGAAAACAGGATGCCGCATCTTGAGATGTTCTGCCACCGGACGATGACAGCTTCAACTGAGGTGTCTCGCACGGAATCTGGTGTGTCTAAAAAAACGATGTCACTGGCAAGGATACCAAAAATAGTGCACACTGCTACAGTACAGAAACGGAAATCCGTTTCTCGGAATTTGGATGCCTAAAGCACAGACAAAGTTTCTGAGAACGACGGCCATTTTTCATCTCCAACAATGCACGGTTGTCTGGGTTGACGGTCCGAGAAAGGAAAGTAACTTTTGCAACGGATGGTGTTTCTTTCTAGTATCAGCCTTCGCACCTCACATCTTGCAAACATATATGAGTTCGCCGGGTGCGAACATGTAAGCGGCGGGATGGGGACTGGGGAGGGCACCGGGGCACCGTGCCCCCTTTGATTTTGGTATTTTAACATTAGCCCTATGGGCTAATGTTGGAAAGAATGGGACCAAAAGTCGGCAGTGCCCCCCTCCCCCCTCCTTAACCCTCGCCCGCACATGCCATTTTCCCATCCTAGAACGCACATGGGGGGGGGGGGTGGTTGCCACCCCCCGCCCGCGCCATTTCGTTCCTGTTGGAGATAGAGCTTAGCAGTAAAGACCAAAAAGATTCTTTGGGAAGAGACGAATCCAATTTGATACCCAGTTTTACCTTCTCAGGTCAGTCATTGACCTTCCAGGTCAGGTCAAACTAAAAAATGTTGCTGTTTTGGGTCACCGTTGGATATCAAGTGCGCTGCTTATCAAATACCGATGACGATGCTGTTTTCTGGTGCCAAGCCAGCTAGAACCTCTTTGTCACACTATCCGACCAGAATTTTGCTGCTGAGGTCATTTCAGGTCAAGTTAGGTCAAGGTCAATTATATGTGTTTGTATGTCTGTGTGTGTCTGTGTGTATACTGATGTGTGCACCGATTGTTTTTGGGTCCATATCACATGAAATCATGATCTGAGAAGCTTTTACCAAAAATGTAGTCAAAAAACTTCACAAAAAGTAAATTCAGCTTGCCTAAAACGCAATTATCTTAGATGACCTAGGTTGACCTTGACCCTGACCTTGACCCCTGTACATCGTCGAACAACATGTTCCATGATAGGTGGGAGGTAAGACTGGCAAAAAAGGCCGAAATCAGGGTGTCAAAAGCTCACAAGGCCCATGGCAAACGCAAGATGTTGAGAATTGGCCATTTGGGTCATGACATGACCTGAAAAACAAGGTCATATCTCCGAAACCAAAAATCACAGAAACTTGAAATTTTCAGTGGACATCAAGAAAGGATAGACGAGCAGCTATACGAAAAATCAGCCTTCTAGCTCTAAAAATGTTGAGTGCAGAGCAGAAAGACTGCCTGGGGGGGGGGGGTGGCAACCACCCCCCCCTCCCATGTGCGGGCGAGGGTTAACCCGCGCCCCGCTGGGCTATTCACTATTCAGCCATACGCGCCCTGCTGGGGGGGGGGGGGGGGGGGCAGGTTCTGCCCCCTGTCTAACTTCCGAACCGATGGTCGTAGAAAGACGGGGGAAACGGCAATCGAAAGCTCTCAACAAGGCGGATCTTAAGAACCCAATTTTTTTGCTTAAGTAAGTCAGAGGTCAGGTCAAGAGTACAAAATGCAAGTTTCTACAGTATCGGCCTTGCACCGTAGTTGCCGAAGAATGGACGGAGACTGATTGCCCAAAACGTGTTCGTAGGCTACCAAGACAATATTCGTTGCATAAAATATCATTCAAAGGTCAATGTCAAGGTCAGGTCAGGTCAGGTCAGGTCAGGTGCCAAAAACAAAATATAGAAAAAAGGCATGTGCGACACATGTTTTATGGGCCATTTTATTCATAGAATTCAAAAGGCACACTCAATAAGTGATATGAACCAGTGAACCACCTCTGGATGAATTTCAGGCCGAGGTCAGGTCAAGTGAGGTCACATTTTGAAGTTGGTTGTTAAGGCCTAAAAATGTGTCTATCTGATGCAGTTTTTCACGGCGAATCGAATGGTGCTATTTTTGTTTTCGTACGAGGTCTACATAGAACTTCCAAAAAATCTCTTTTTTTTAAATTGCATGTGTCGTGACGGCATACAATTTCGAATAACTCCCACATTTTTTAACCGATTCTTCTATAAATTGGTATGTTGGTGCAAATAGACCACTTCTCTGACATATATTCCGTTTTTTTCGATACACTCAAAATTTTGGATTTTATTATCATTTTCCCCAAAAAGTCAGTTTTTTTAATTTGGGCCAAAATTCAAAATATTCAAAAAACCGAGACAGCCATTTGATAGACAAAGTAAAATCACGTATAACCTTTTTGTTACGTCTTGATTCCTTTAAAAATGAAGATGTTAGCGGCGTTTGAAATTTTGCTGCTTTTGAGGCGAAAATGGCGAACATGACGTCACTAAAACGTCATTTTCTCAAACATTTTTGACGGATTCCGCTCAAACTTTCAGGGAACGTGTCAAATTGATGTAGGTATGATAAGGTACTGAAAGTTTGACGTCGCTGGCGTAACGCGTTTAGAAGTTATTGGCGAAAAACGGGAGGGGGGCAGATTCCTCCCCCCCAGCTGAGCGGGACGCGGGTTAATTGAAGGTGTTCCACCACTACTGGTGCGAACCCATCTGTAGCGCGTCGGGCGCAGAGAAGAGGCAGACTATCCGGGCTAAGGATCGACAGGAGACTCTCTCTCTCTCTCTCTCTCTCTCTCTCTCTCTCTCTCTCTCTCTCTCTCTCTCTCTCTCTCTCTCTCTCTCTCTCTCTCTCTCTCTCTCTCTCTCTCTCTCTCTCTCTCTCTCTCTCTCTCTCTCTCTCTCTCTCTCTCTCTCTCTCTCTCTCTCTCTCTCTCTCTCTCTCTCTCTCGAGCGGGCCCCTGACAGAAATTTCGGGGGGCCGGGGGGTCAGCTGACCCTCTGACCCCCCCCCCCCCCCGGGCTGCGCCAATGCAAGTTACAAATGTTTTAGAACAACCCAATGAGAGACTTTTGCTTTTGTGACATGGCACCAATTTCCTGTTCAAAATGGCATACTGGATGCTAAGCATTCTTTTCGATGTGACTTTGAATATATGTTCTCAGATGAAATTTAATTTGAACTAATTTATCGCAAATACTATGAAACATTGCAATTACAACACGTTAAATTACACATTAATTTATTTACTAGCAGATATCTTTAAAATGCCGCGCTAGTTCCGAATCTGACGCCAATGATACGTAAATAGCGCGGCCTCGCTGCGCGCGCGCGCGCGTCAGAATGTTATTGTTTGTTGTCATGTGACGGGGGTGTTTGATTCCGAGTTTTATTATTTCAATTTTGTCATGGAGACAGATACGGAAGTTGCACCATTGGTAAAATACTATGAAAAGATTGCAAGGTAAGCTTTATGCCCAAGTTCAAGGCATGATATGTATGTAACGGAGCTTCCTATTTCATTTCCTCTTGCTCTTGCTCTCGGCTCTGGCTCTCGCTACGTTGATGTGCTTTTATTTTTCGTTCTTGCTAGTACCTACTTAGGTACATCTTCTTTTCAAATGAAAAATTCATGGAGGACTTGAGCGTGTTTTCTTGCACTGAGGTGTTGGAGGGGAACTTTATTTGAACAAATGTCTAATGTTCATCCTGTGACACGTACGTATGTACAATTTGATATGTGGTCCTGGAACAAAGGCCTTTTTCACCATAAAATATGATAGAAAATAATTCCATGATGCATGCACAATAGGCATCAGTAGTTGGAGCGAGGGGCTGAGCTTCTAAAGTACCTATTTCATCATAGCATAATATTGTTTGGCAGAATGGCATTTTTCAGCATTCAGAATGACATGGTTTTTGTGATTCCACTTGTTTTTTGCGTATTCAATGTTGCTTGCCAAGTGTTTCATCAGTGTTTTATGCATGCTTGTATTGACATCAAAAGCCCTCTACATGGTACATACAACATCATGATTATGGTTTATTGAGTTGTGTGCTTCTTCCTTGCGGGGATGTAGTGGGAGATGGAATAGTGTAAATGGGTGAGTTGCCACCCTGTAGTATATTTGAGCTACGCACTTGTGTGTGGTGTAATCCTTTGCCCTGTTATAGCATCAAAAGTGTGACACTTCGTTTCCAGGAGGGAAACAGAAGCTAAGAGCAGTTTAACCCTATTCCTGGCGGGGGGGGGGGGGCTCAGGAGCCCCCCCTGAGGTTTTTTGGTTATTTCTCCCAAACGCTTTGAGCTAGGAAGCCCAAATTTTCTGACTTTTCCTAAAAGGCTTTTACACAACATTTCTGAAAATTTTGAGTTGATCTGACCTCAGGTCAGGTCACCAGAGGCGGTTTGGTGACCCTACCTCAGAAAAGTTTGCAATCACGCCAGAGCTAGAGTTTTTGACCGATCAATTTCTTCTCTTCAGGCTTTAGTTAGGGTACCAGTATGTGCAATTTGTATATCTCAGAATTTTCATATCTGTGACCTGAGGTCAGGCCAGACTCGTGACCTTTACATTGCAAGCCTATGGGAAAATATTGAAACGCCTCCTGCTTTGTGTAAACGAGTCAAAACCACCCAATTCTTTCAGTATTATGGAAGATTATCTCATCGGTGATGATCCTGGTGCCGCTAATTGACAGGGGCACCGGCAAAGGTCATCTGAGGTCATGTGACGTCATAAATCGTTTTTCTGTCAATAAATCACGACATGATGGTGCTAAAGACTTGTAAGTGGTACCAAACTGCTCGCCTGGTCAAGGCGCGTCGTTTGGTATGCAGCATGACCATACCCCACAACCTCATTGATGAATGACCTGACCTTGACCTCAGGTCAAATTTCAAATTGACCTGTGAAGGTCATCACATACTTATTTCGCATCGCCTCGGCGAGAGCAACAAAAAATGTATTGGTTTTATGTCTCTATGTTTCTTAGTTTAAAAGTTATATAGGTAACTAATTCCAAAACGTTTTATCGTTGATGACCTCTGGTGACCTCAATATTGACCTGACCTGAAAATGTTTTATGTAAAAGTTGTAGATCTTTAAACGACCTATCAAACGCCGTTCGCCGTTTGTCGCTGCGATGTGTAGTTTCTGAGATCTGAGGGGGGGGGGGCCGAATCGCCCCCCCCCCCCCCCGCCAGTTTCTTGTCCCGGCGGAGCCCGCCAGGAATAGGGTTAAAGGCCACCGTCCACTATGCGGAGCGCTATGCGGATTGCGGAGCACTTGCGGTCCGTACGGAATTTAACACAGAGCCCTATGGGCGCCTGCGGTTTCCGTCCGGAGTCCGTCAGGAATGTCTCCACATCCGGACAGCAAACTGAGAGCTCACGCACACTCGATATCACTTGTTACAAAAAGAAGATATGGCCATTGCCTAGCATCACAAGATGGTGCCATGCCAAGGAAATAATTTTTATCTACTTTGTCTTGAAAGAGTAGAAATTCAATCTTAAATTTCCAATTGAAAACTCGAAGACGGGCGACGGCCCATGTCCGCATCCATTCCGTCTGCGTTCTCCGCACACAGTTCAACACGTTGTACTTTGGTACTTCGTCTCTGCGACATCCACTTCGGATGTCGATGATTTCGACTTGAATAAATTTAGCTCTGACTATCTTGCCAATCATACTAGATCTGCTATTTTTATGCCCATCCTGGAGTTGCTTGATCACGCAGTACCTATGTCACTAATCTTGTCTTGAATCAGTATCAGTCAACTCATTACCACAAGGAAGGTGTACTCTGTAATTGGGGGAACTAATGAAGTGTTTTGGAGGTGCACTTCCTTTTATAATGGTCTCACTTTCACTGGGCACTACTACCAGTAAAATGCTTTTTGAGCAAACAATGAGCGAGCGAGAGAGTGAGCCGGTGAGCCCTGCATGTGTGGAAGGACGAGAGGCAGGTACCTTCAACTGGCTTGCTCACAGGCCACAGCACCCTACTAAATGGTCACTAGCAGTGGGCCAAATTTGGAGGCAATCAGTTCAGCCATTCCCGAGATCTGGGAGAGGCTCCCTGCATGTGTGCACGTGTAGACTGTACAAAGTGACCTTTACACGCCACCCCACCAACTCCCTAACCACGTATCAGATTTGAGCGCAATCGGCCCTGCCGTTCTAGAGATCCAGAAGCGTCCCTTGCACGTGCTCACGTGCAGTAGCACCGTGACCATAACACATGGGAATGCATTGGCCGGTGGGTGCCTACCTGCATGCCAAGTTTCAGCGAAATCGCCCCAGTAATTGTGGAGTTATTTTTATGGGAACAAATGTCACAACTCTTCTTTTTCCTTTTTGCACTAGGGTGTCTTGTTTTGTTTGCTTGTTTTGTTTGTTTATTTTGTTGGGTTAGGCCCTTTCGGTATGACAAGACCATTTCAGAGCCGGAAGGATGATAAGAATTAGGGGGAGACATTGGTCTGGGCAGACACCCTAGAGTGTCGCCGGGGCTGAGCCCCTCCGAATGGACAGGCCGACCAGCCCTCCAAGACCGGCTGCCGTCCGAGGGGTCGGCAACAGGTCTCTTTGAGGCACTGAGTGGGAGCCCGTCCGCCAGGGGCGCTGCAGACCGGGCGATAGAGGGCAGCACGGGTCCTCGCTGGCCTACGAGGACGATCGACTGGGCTGGCCACGACTGGTGCGGAATAGGGGGCAGAGCACGTGTCGTCGTATATTTCAGTTGTTCACACCTCTGAGAATGAAAATGGACTCTTTGAAAAAGAACCTCACAAGCTGAAGCTGACCATTGAAGTTGAACTGTCTGGTGATTATTATTTCAATGACGGCGGCCGTGTTCCACTGACTGAAGCGACAACTTGAGCTGATTTAATTAATGACTTTTGTCTCTGGAAACTCCCATTATCTGACAAGTCAGAACGCATCTGGAATATCCGGGCTGGAGTAAGGAAAAAACACCAGTATGCAGCCAAAGTTTGTTCAAGACTAATATTTCATGACACCTGATCGTGCAGCATCTTTACGCTGTCACAGCTCAACAATTTATTGGTAACCCTGTCACAGCTCCCAAATGCTGCTTATGATCGCGTTTTCTGGTACCCTTTCGCTACTAACATGTAGTTCATGGCTGTCTGTCCCGCCGACGATGGCAGACCCCTTCCTTCAGATCTCATTCAGTTTGCACACCGGCAAGATGCCTGTGCAATTTTTTTACCATACAGATAGCTGGTCTCTCGCTGAGCAGTGACATTAACTCCCCCCCCCCCCAGGCACCTGCAGGAGCGGCCGGCCGTGGCGGAAAAGGAGGCGGCCACTCTGCTGAAGCGCGCCTGTGCGCACGCGCAGCACCGTGATGTGGACCTGAGTCGGACGGCGCTGACCGTGCTCGGCGTGCTGCTGCACCGGCGCGCGCCGCCGGCCGAGCTGGCCACCGAGGTGTCCGGCTGGCTGCTGCCGCTGCTGCACCAGCTGCTGCGCCAGCCGGCTGTGGAGGCGCGCCGGCCGCTGGTGCGCGCGCTCTGGTGTCTGGAGGCGCTGGTGGGGGCCGGCCACCTGCCCGAGGAGCGGCCCGAGCCGCTGGCGCAGCTGGTGCGCACGCTGCTGCGCGCCGGCATGCCCAGCGCCGTGCAGATCCGCGCCGTAACGCTGGTGCGCCGGGTGGCGGGCTCGCCGGCCGCCGGCCCGACAGCACTCGTGCCGCTGGTGCGCCTGCTCTGGCCCGTCCTGCTGCGCTCCACCATGCCGGCCGTGGCCACCGAGGCCGAAGAGACGGTGCGCGCGTGTATGGCGGTGGCCGGCGTGCAGGCCGCGTTCACGGGCGAGCTGCTGGCTATGGCCACCTCGGGCGGCTACCTGGCTCAGCTGCAGGAGGCGGTGACCCGGCCCGAGTGCGGCGCGCAGGCGCTGACCGCCTGGGCGCTGCTGGTCGACTGTCTGGGCGCCAGACTGCAGAGCACGGCGCTCATCAACCAGGTGCTGCAGGTGATCCAGGCGCCGTTCCGCAGCAACAACAACGAGCTGCGACGGCGCAGCTTCGTCGCCTGGCGCTCAATGGTGAACAATTTCCTGGCGTCGGGCCGGCTGCACGAGAACCCCAAGCGTCTGAAGCTGCTGATCACTCCACTGACGCAGGGTAACACGGGCCGGCCGGCGGTGGCGGTGGAAAAGTTCCGCGTCTGGTGGACGCTGCTGGCCGGCCTCGGGCCGCACCTCAGTGCCACCTTCGACACTACCACAGAGCCCTTCCTGCGCTTCTGCTTTGTGCCGGCCGATAAGGGCCTGGCCAACGGCGGGGGCGGCGGCGCGCGCGACCGTGTGGGCGGCGTGGTGCTGCAGCTGGCCGATGCGCGGCCGCTGGCGCGCGCCGCCCTCATACAGCTGCTCTCGCCGGGCTGCCGCCAGTTCGCCGCGGAGTCGGTGGCGGCCCGCGAGCACGAGGCAGTGACTGGTGCGGTGTTCGCGCGCCACGCGGCGCTGCTGGCCGACTCGGCGGCTGCCTGTCTGCTGCGCGCGCCCGCCGACGGCCTGGCGGAGGTACTGTTGGAGCCGCTGCTCGACTGGACCACACGCCACCTGGAGTCGCAGGCGTCACTGGGTCTGACCCGCGAGCAGGGCCTGCCGGTGACGGCGGTGCTGCGAGCGCTGGACACCCTGCTGGCCGCGCAGCTGGAGTCGCCTGTGGCTGAACAGGTGGGTGCAGCCGCGGAACGGCTCGGCGGCCACAGCGACAGGGTGCTCACAGTGGTGTGGGGCGGCCGGGAGGATTGTATTTGGTGCGAGGTGGTCGATGATAGACGAAATTCCTTTGTTTTGATATTGCCGCTAAAATGAATTAACGGCGAGTATTTACAGCCTTTTTATTGGTAATCACTGACTGAAACATTTGAACTCCGGTCCACATTCGCGTAAAATTGACCACTTGCCTGGTGCCCTTGAGGCTTCACTTTTAAGTGCCCCAGCCCCGGCCCGTCCCGCTGCGGTCGCTGACGGGTCTCTGACTCTCTGCCTCAGGTGGTGATCGTGGCCGATCGTCTGGTGGCCCGCCTGCCGGAGAGGTTCGTCTGGTCCTCGTTGCACCAGATGGAGGGCGCCGGCGGGCCGCCCGCGCTCTTCCTGCTGCGCTCGCTGGGCCGGCGGCCGAGCGGCGAGCCGTCCGGCGGCGCCGCGCTCTCACGGCTGGTGCGCGCGCTGGGCGCGGACGCGCTGCGCCGGCTACCCGAGCTGGTGGCGTTGCTGAGCGGCGCGGAGCTGGCCGAGGAGCTGCGCCCGCTGGTCTGGCACGACACGGCGGAGACGCTGCTGGAACATATCGAGAAGGTGAGCAGAGGCGGGGCAGGGAGTTACTGAGCGGGTGGCGGCGGTGGGGAGGGGAGGACGCTGAGCGGACGGCGGGGGGGGGGGAGGTTGGTAGCCACTCGGAATGATGGGGGCCTGGGCGGATGACGGTAACTCTGAAGTCTAAAGGATAGTGTTGTCACTGTGTTCAATGCTGATGGAAAAGTGTGTCAATGAGAAATATTTGATAGCTGGGTCCCTGCCAATATATTTGAGTCCCTCTCGGTGGTTCTGTTCGGTGGGTTCCCCTATCCGCGGCTCACGACTCCCCTCCCCGGTTCACCCAGCTCACGGCTCCCCCGTTCCGTCCGCAGACTCAGGAGGTGGACAGCGGTGACGCGCTGGGCCACGACTTTGGCCCGGTGTCTGCGCTGCTGGCGGCCCCGCTCAGCTGGCCGCCGCCGGCCGCCGGCCCCCACCTGCACACCTGGTCGCGGCTGTACTGCGCGGCGCGCGTGGCCGCTGAACTGGTGGCCACGGCGCCGCCGAACGCTCTGGCCGCGGAGGTGGCCGGCCGGCTGCGCGCGGCGGCGCCCCTCGCGGTGCCGGCGGCAGCGCACTGTCTGAGGGTGATGGCCGAGACCGCCCTGCTCAAAGAGACGGACGGAGCGCCGCGCTCCGGCACTGGTGAGCGACGTGAGAGGGAGGGACGGGTCACAGCAGGAGCAGGGAGGACGGGACGGGCTACAGCCAGAGCAGGGTGGACGGGACGGGCTACAGCCAGAACAGGGTGGACGGGACGGGCTACAGCCAGAGCAGGGTGGACGGGACGGACTACAGCCAGAGGAGGGTGGACGGGACGGGCTACAGCCAGAGCAGGGTGGACGGGCCGGCGAGTTACCTAAGTGTGGAACTACCTAGCGCCGAGCCGGCCGGATGACGTCACACCACGGCCAGTGCCGGCGCGGCGGCAGACTGGCCGAGATTGGCATGGTCTTAACTTGGCGAAGAGGCATCGGACGCCAAACTTCTGCTGTAGCTATTAATCACATTTCATGCGTTTCTTCCATGTGTATGAGCTATCAAGTCCTTCGAATACCTAATGTGTAGGTGAGCGTACCTGCATTTAGCAGTGTGTGCTATGCTATGTGGATGGGCACATCCGACAGTCGACACACTGCGCAATGGATTCCGATATTGCTTGGCTGATTCTGGCTTTGTGTCTTCGAACGAACCATTGAAAGGGAGGACGTCATTTTTAAAGGTTGTTAGGTGCACTCAAACGTTTTAAGATAAGCAACTGCTGATTGAATTTCTGGCGAGGGTTGGTGGAACGCTCTGTTTACAAATGAGTATCTACCTACCTAGTACCTACCTGCAGTGGCAAATAACTGGGTCGCGGTCAGTTAGGCATGATTCACGAAGTCCCTTATCTTTTATTAGACTTATTAAGCCCAATGTGCAACATTTGCGTCTTTTCGCGTTGTATCGGGTAGCAAATGAGAAAATCTGCTTCTTCTCCACAGCCCTCAATTCAAGAAACCGTCCTTTTCCTTATCGCATCATTCCAGAACATAATTTTCAAACATGGATATCTTCCCCACAAAAAAAAAACTGAAGCAGTTTCCTTCGGCTCCAATGCGCCGCTCGCCCAGGGAGACGGAAGTGTTATATTCTCGGCGGTCCAGTCTGCATTCTGCAGCACACTCAAACTTGGCGGACCCCCAGCGCACGACTGAACGATTCGTATTGTTGTGAGTGACTGTGACAATTCACTGGTGGTTTCGGAATAATTAACAGGCGGCGCAGCCCAGTGCCTCTTACAATGAATTACAGTGGCGAATGCACTATTGCAGAGAAGAAATGGATTGAGCAGATGCCCAAGCTCGCTGTATTATCAATTAAAACATTAGGTACGCTTTACATTTTAATCAGGCAATCTAAAACAAACGACTTGCGAGTTGCGACCCTTCCGCCTTACATAACTCGGCAAAATGCCCCTGAGTCGGCTAAACTACACTGCATCTCTTCAAACCTTAAGTATTTTACAATTTACCACTCAGCTATGCAACAGGCTTATAATTCACTGCTCAAGTCTCAACCCCTTTTTCCCTATCATCTTTTTGGCACCGTCAATCGCCATCTGCGCTGCCCACTGTCCAGCAAATAATCCGGCCGTCTCCAGTTCTCTGGCAGGGGCTTCCAAACTCAAGCGAACTCGCCGAAGTTTCGCCATTCAATGCGCAGGATCTGTACAATTGAGTTTGAGAGCCTCTGGGTTGGCTCGGCGCGCCTGCGCAGCGCCGTTGGTCCGGCCAAGTACGCGAGTGACGTCATGCTATAAGCGTCATCCCCCGACCAAAGTCACCAATCAGAGCCCTAGAATCGACTTGTAGTTCCACACTTAGGTAACTCGCGGACGGGACGGGCTGTAGCCAGAGCAGGGTGGACGGAACGGGCTACAGCCAGAGCAGGGTGGACGGGACGGGCTACAGCCAGGGCAGGGCAGGGTGGACGGGACGGGCTACAGTTAGAACAGGGTGGACGGGACGGGCTACAGCCAGAACAGGGTGGACGGGACGGGCTACAGCCAGGACAGGGTGGGCGGGACGGGCTACAGCCAGAGCAGGGTGGACGGGACGGGTCACAGCCGGAGCAGGGTGGAAGGGGAAGGGACGGGCGTTACAGACAGAATTTGACAGAATGTTTAGGAAGTTCATGCTAGTTGCGGCGCCCATCGCGAGTTCTCCGCTCTGTCGCACCGCCGCCTCCCCGCTTGGTCTGACCGCTATCTCCCCGCCGCAGGCTCGCCCCTGAAGCGCCGCGGCCCGTCTCCGTCGGACGCGTCAGCGGCCGTCCTGGAGGCCACCGTGCCGCAGCTGGCGCCGCTGCTGCTGCTGCTGGCCGACCTCTGCTCCCAGCTGGAGGAGCACGCCACGCCCGAGGCTGTCGCCGACCTGGCCGAGAGCGTGCGCCGGCTGTCGGGCGCGCACGTCGCGGCGGCGCCGGCCACCGCCGTTCTGGTACAGACGCTGGGAGCGGCCACTGCGAGCTTGCTGCAGGTGGCGGCGCCGAACTCACCCGTCCGAAACAAGGTACGGTGGAGGTGTGGGCTTTCACCGTCCGAGAGGGGTCAGGGTAGGACACTCACCCGTGCATGACAAGGTAAGGAGGCCGGTGGTGCTCCGGGGCTTGCTAGCGGACGGTGGTTTTGCTACATTATTTTTTTTTTTTTTTGAGTTGCGTTGGCCATGCTGTAAGATGATGCACTTATTTAGTAACAGCCGTGATGGTTATATATTCCGTGATGGTTATATATTGGTTATATATATAGATGAGTTTTGTTACCTATCATTGACCTCTCACGTGTCTGTGTGCGCTCACCCCTGTCCCTGTCTCCGCCAGGTGCTGTCGGCGTACGAGGCGGTGGTCGGTCTGGTGCGCCAGCGGCTCTCGGAGCTGTCGCCGACGGCCGTGCTGGCGCAGCTGGCTCCGCTGCTGGAGGCGGCGCCGGCGGCCGAGCCCAGCCGCCGGCTGTGGCACGCCGTGCTGGCGCCGCGCCGGCCCGCCGTGCCCGAGCACCTGGCGCCGCTACTGGCGCGCCTGGCGCCGCCGCCCGAGCCGGAGCCCGCCGCCGCCGCCGGCTCGCCCGCCTTCAAGCCGCGCCGCCGGCTGATGGAGGCGCTCTCGGCCGAGAAGGAGCGCCGGCAGCGGGCGGCCGCCAGCCCCAACAAGACGGCCATGTCGCCGGGCCGGCCGCCGCCGCCGGCTGCGCCGCCGTCCCCGGCCCGCGGCGGTAAGGAGGACACGGTGAGTACCCACCGGGTGTGTCAGCGGGGAGCTGAGGGGCCGCGGCGGCCTGGCTGGTGTCTGCCGGAGGCACGCGTCGCAGGGCACGGCGGTGGTGGCTGGTTTGGTGCTGTGCAGTGGTAGCTGGTGGAGCTTGTTTGGTGTGCCCGGCTCGGCTTTAACAATTTTTGTTTTGTTTTTCTGTTATGAACGCCGCAGCTCTCGTTTGGAGTTTTGCTTAGAGTTACTTGGTGCTTGGTGTTTTCAATTTTTGGTTCCTGGTACATTGGTGTGCTGCCTAACCGGTGAATGGTTTTGTTAAGTGTACTCACGAATTTAATTTTCTTTTGTTGATGTTTGTTGGAGAACCTAATTATTGCAATTAAATGACTTATTATTTTGACATTTTATTTTCTTCAAAAACTTCACTGCTTACACGGCATTGCGTTGTCAATATACCGGCCGCAGACCTTCATCAGCGTTCATCAGCTCGTGCGGTATGAAATGGAGACGGGGGAGGCGGGGGGGGGGGGAGTACTCAGGTTGAGGAATCGTCTATCGTGCTTCAGTACGGAGATCGGAACGGGTTTTGATGATTTCTACAGTTTTGCTTCTGAAGAATGGCCTATGATTCGGCCCCGAATGGCTTATGATGAATCTCAGAGCTCTCAAAAGGTTTTAAAGGTGTAGATTTACATAGCCTATGCTATAGGTGTAAGATGCCTTTAGGCTGTGCAATTCACGCGTCAGTTTTGTTCCTCGCTTTTGCGTTGTTCTCCGCACTTTTCCCTCCTGTGGCATCAGAAACTGTCGAGGTACGCAGCTTCATTCCTGTAGATGATTTATAATTTGTATTGTGACCTTTCTGATCGAGCGGACTAAGCACAAAGCTGAGCAACGCATGTTCGAACGAGGCTTCAGTAGGTGGCTAGCAAACGCGTTGTGATGTTCAACTCTCTAATTCATTTATCATCTTTTCATGTTTCTCGGTGTGTTTATATGTGAGATATGTTACGCCATTCCGGACAAACATGGTCTTGAGAAACAGGCCAAGGGTCGTTCGGGTCAGGGTCATGAAATTTTCAGTGTAGGTGTGAAAGTGATCAACTCGAAGGTACTCAAAGTTTCGTCGCGATCGGCCGCTTTTTGCGCGAGCTATTCCCCCCCCCCCCCCCAAAAAAAAAAACGAGGAATGTCCGTTCGACTCGCGCAATCACAGCAAGAACTATCGGTAAAGAGTGTGATATTTTTCCAGAGGCAAATTTAATTTTAAAGCTTCTAAAATGCATTTAACGCATCATAAACATCGAATGGCTTTGCCCTTTAATGGCTCTGGAAGGTATAACTGAAGTTGGATGAAAAATACTGTGCTCGAGGTGCTATATGAAAGCCACACGCTCCTTATTCACAAACAGAGAGACACATCCCACTCTCCCTTACACTGACGAAGGTCTGTGGCCGATACACTATCACATCAATTAAGTATTGCCACTTAGCATTTTAATTATTTTCATAAATAATATTTATATAAGGTTGGTCATTTAATTGCAATAGCCTAGCGCCTGCCTGTTCGCACGATCGGGGCGCTGCGCTGAGGGTACGGGTCCGTCTATTCGGCCGTCTGCGGCGGCGCTGACCGCTGCCGCGCGCGCTGCTAGGTGACAGGGCTGCAGCAGTCTGCCGAGGGCCGGCGGGTGCCGCTGATACGACTGGCCCGGCTGCCGTGCTCCTCGCCGCTCGGCGGACAACCTGAGGCGAGTGACAGGGACGGGGGGACGGGTCACCTCCTCACCTGGCGGACAACCTGAGGCGAGTGGCAGGGACGGGAGTGGACGGGGGGACGGGTCACCTCCTCACCTCTTGGCGGACAACCTGAGGCGAGTGGCAGGGACGGGAGGGGACGGGGGGGACGGGTCACCTCCTCACCTCTTGGCGGACAACCTGAGGCGAGTGACTGGCCGGAGCAGGGACGGGAGGGGGTGGAATGGGGGTCGGGAACAGGGATCGGAGCGGCCGGAGCAGGGCGGGACGGTTCCGGACAGGGTCCGGAGCGGGGCGGAACGGTTCCGGACAGGGTCCGGAGCGGGGCGGGAGCGGCCACAGGAGTGATGGGTGGGGGTGGAGCAGGGATGGAAGGGGCGCCGGTGACCCCCGCAGTGTTGAGCACCCTACCAGAAATGACTGCCAATGCCCAACCTATAACAACTCTCAGTTTTCGCAACGCATGTAGATGTCAACTCGGTTTTTACCCCGTGTATCACATTATACTGTCTGTTATTTGCACGTGATTGGTTAAATAATTGATTTCTTTATTGTTCCATCTCGGCTTGGTTGCTTCAGCTTGGGAAGGCTTTTGAGGCGTGGTATCTGGCTTATTGGTCGAGCGCTTAGATTGGTTTACCTCACCAGGCTGACGCTATGCCTACAGCGTGGTCGGCGCGGTAGTGTGCCGATATACGCTCATTGTTTGCAATTCGTGTTTCTGAAAGCATCAAGAGTTTCATTATTGTAATTATCGGTGGTATGCGTTATAAAGTTGAGATCGATTATTTCGTAACTTAGACAGCCGATCAATCCGTCGTAAAAACACATTTCTATCGTTACTGAACGTCATATCCAAGCAGTAAGCACCCCCGATGTCTGACGCCCGTTTGTCTGTGTGCGGTTCCAGTTCGTGGTGATCCCGCCGTCCCCGGCCGGACCGCGGCCGCTGACCGAGCATCAGCGCGAGGTGCGCGCCGCGCCGCGCGACTCGATCCCGGCGCTGTACGCCGACCTGTCCCAGGACACCCAGCAGCTGGCGGCCGCCGCCGCGGCGCCGGACGACAGCCAGACCGGCGCCGAGCTGAGGACGCCCGCGGCCCCGGCCGGCGGCGCCGCCTCCCTGTCGGCCTCCGGGAGCCGGTCGGGCGCGCGCCGCCGCCTGCTCGGCACCGAGTCGCAGCCGGAGCCGGGCGCCGTGTCGTTCGCCGGCGCGGTGGGCGGGCCGCCCGCCGCCCAGTCGGAGGAGCTGCCCCGCCGGGCTCCGCGGCGCGTACGGCCCAGAAGGCTGCGGCAGTCGCTGCCGGGGCCGGCGGGCGCGGCGGCGACGGGGCCCGCCGGCGCAGTCGCCACCAGTGGACTGAACATTCACACAGAGGAGGCTATGGACGCGCCCCCGACCACAGTGGACGACGCCGCCTCCCCAGCCAAAACAAACGGCGCCGCCTCCCCAGCCAAAACAAACGGCGCCGCCTCCCCAGCCAAAACAAACGGCGCCGCCTCTCCGAAGAACACGGACAGTGTTGCGTCCTCGTGTAAGGTGGACCCCTCGCCTTCGCGCAAGACGGATCCCGCGCCCTTGAGTAAAACGGAGGACGCTACGACCCCGCCGTCGCCGCCAAGCGGAGAGGCTACCAAGACGGCAGTGAAGGCTGGGGACGCCGCGGAAACCGGAGCGGACGCCGCCGACGCAGACCGCTCGGACGTGCTGCCGGCCTCTAAGGACGCGCCCGCCGGGGAGGGCGACGCTTCACCATCCCCCGGCGACGCTCCGTCACCCTCAGAGGACGCTAAACCACCCTCGGAGGACGCTGAACCACCCTCGGAGGACGCTGAGCCATCCTCGGAGGACGCTGAGCCACCCTCTGGGAACGCTCCGACACCATCCAGCAACGCGTCGCCGGTGGGCCGGCGCTGCAGGCCGCGGCGGACCATCAAACGCTCTCCGCAGGTGGCCGCGTTCATCAGCAGCGCGCGCCGCCTGCTGGAGGCCGACAGACGCCGGCGGAGGCGCTCCGAGCCGGCGCCCAGCGCCCCGTCCGGCGCCGACGAGCCGGCGGAGGCCGAGTCGGCGCCGGCCGTGCTGCAGGCCGATCCCGACACGGACGGGCCGTCGCTGGCGCTGAAGAGGCGGAGACTGAGCACGAGCAGGTCGGCTCGGTCCGAGGGGGGCTCCGATCCGGACTCCCAGGCCAGCCAGCAGCCGAAGCGCGGAGCGGCCGGCCGGCTGGCGGCTGCCGAGGCGCGGCGCGCGCGCACTCGCCGCCGGCGCACCGCCGTGGTGACGCTGTCAGAGAGACGTCTCATGGAGGAGAGCCCGCCGGAGCCGAGCCGGCCGCCGGCCGCCGCGGCAGCCACCGACCCCGGGCGGCCGGAGGAGGAGGGATCCGTGGAAATGGACACCCAGACGCCGCCGGAGCAGTGCGGCGCTCCACCGCCGGAGGACGATATTTCGACGGAGCTGTCGGCCGACCCGACAGAAGAGGAGCCGCCGGTGAAGGTCGCTGCGAGCGAGGAGCCGGGCGGGACAGAGCGGATGGTGACGGAGGAACAGGACGCGACAGAAACGACGATGAGCGACGACCAACGCGTCGTGGCACCGGCGGCGAGCGACGAAAATGACGCGTCAGAGCCGGCGAAGAGCGACGAACAAAACGCCGCGCCGTCATCGGAGGGGATTCCAGAAACCGAGGCGTCCGTTGCCCAGTCCAATGGGCCGGTGACTGATGGCGAAACCACCGCGGTAGGGGAGAGCGCCCCTCCGGTGGACGAGAGTGCCAGTCCAGTGGGCGAGAGCGCCTCCACCGTGAACCAGAGCGCCCCCTCGGCGGATGAAGACGCCACTCCAGTAGACGAAGATGTCCCTCCAATGGACGAGAGCGCACCCTCGGACGAAGCTGCTACCGGTGCCGCTGCAGCGACTGCCGCCGACACAGCCGACATCACTCCCTCTCCTGCGGCCGCTGACGCCCCTACAGAGAGTCCGCTGAAGGCTCCGGCGGTGCCGGAGGTCGTCGTGGAGACCCAGTCGGAGCGCGCGGACCGGGCCGTCACTCCTCCGCCGCCTGCCGCTGCGCCCGTCTGTGGTGACCCGGAGCCGGTGGGCAGTGTGAGTGTGACTGAATCACCGCAGACGGCGGCCACTAACTCGGACAGAACCGCCCCGGTGGAACCCGGGGTGACGGTGACAGACTCCAACGGGCCGGCCGCTGTGGAGCCGCCGCCGGAGGAGCACGAGGGCACGCCTCTGAAGCGGGCCGTGGTGCGCCTGTCGCGCCTCTCCGAGCCGGCGGTCTGCAGCGCGCGCCGCCAGCTCGGCCTGGACGAGCCAGCCGCGCGGAGCTCGGAGGCTGCCGGGGACGCGGCGCCGGCGGCCGGCCCGCCACCGCCGCCTGCTGAGTCCGAGGAACTGTTCGCCTCCCCCGAGCTCAACGGCGGTCTGCCGCCGAGACGCGCCGCCGCCCCCGCGCCGCCGCCAGTGGCCACGTCCCGCGCCGCCCGCCTGGTCGGGCTCGCCCAGAAGCGGCAGGCGCCGCCCGCAGACGCTGCCGAGAGTCCCGAGCGCGAGCGGTCGCCGCCGGCGCTGCCGCCCACGCCGTCGACGCCGGTGCAGCGGCGGCCGCCCTGGGCCCGCCACGTGTACTCGCCTCAGGCGTCCCCCAGCGCGGGCATCTTGAAGCGGAGGCGGCTGATGGGTCCGCCTTCTGTCGACTCGCCGCCCACGCCCGGCAAGGTAAGGCAACCGGATGATGGGTCCGCGGCCCCGTCCGTAGAGGCTGGCGCCGTGCTATTGCAGGCCGCCATTCCGTGACCTGGACGAATGATATTCGGATGCTAACGGTAATGCTTCAATGCTTAATTCTCTTCAATAAGCAACAATATTATTTGATCGGCGCGGAAGATTTGACTAAGTAAAATCCGTCAGTCCTCTTTTGCCGTGGGTCTGGTTCGTTCATCTCCCTGCTGTCTCCCTAAGGGTCTGACAAGAGCTGCACAGACTCCTGTCTGTTCCGTCAGCTCCGGCCGTCTCCGGCCGCTGACAGTGTGTCGTGTCTCCTCCCCCGCAGCCGGGTCCAGTTCAGTGAGCCGCCCGTCTGACAGCGTGTCTCCAGTTCAGTGAGCCGCCCCTCTGACAGCGCGTCGTGTCTCCAGCTCAGTGAGCCGCCCGTCCGACAGTGTGTCTCCAGCTCAGTGAGCCGCCCGTCTGACAGTGTGTCTCCATTTCAGTGAGCCGCCCGTCTGACAGTGTGTCGTGTCTCCAGCTCAGTGAGCCGCCCGTCCGACAGTGTGTCTCCAGTTCAGTGAGCCGCCCGTCTGACAGTGTGTCGTGCCTCTAGTTCACTGAGCCGCCCGTCTGACAGTGTGTCTCCAGTTCAGTGAGCCGCCCGTCTGACAGTGTGTCTCCAGTTCAGTGAGCCGCCCGTCTGACAGCGTGTCGTGTCTCCAGTTCAGTGAGCCGCCCGTCTGACAGTGTGTCGTGTCTCCAGTTCAGTGAGCCGCCCGTCTGACAGTGTGTCTCCAGTTTAGTGAGCCGCCCGTCTGACAGTGTGTCGTGTCTTCAGTTCAGTGAGCCGCCCGTCTGACAGTGTGTCGTGTCTCCAGTTCAGTGAGCCGCCCGTCTGACAGTGTGTCTCCAGTTTAGTGAGCCACCCGTCTGACAGTGTATCCAAGTCACTGAGCCGCCCGTCTGACAGTGTGTCGTGTCTCCAGTTCAGTGAGCCGCCCGTCTGACAGTGTGTCTCCAGCTCAGTGAGCCGCCCCTCTGACAGTGTGTCGTGTCTCCAGCTCAGTGAGCCGCCCGTCTGACAGTGTATCGTGTCTCCAGCTCAGTGAACCGCCCGTCTGACAGTGTGTCTCCAGTTCAGTGAGCCACCCGTCTGACAGTGTGTCGTCATCGTGTCTCCAGTTCAGTGAGCCGCCCGTCTGACAGTGTGTCGTGTCTCCAGTTCAGTGAGCCGCCCGTCGGACAGTGTGTCAACAGTTCAGTGAGCCGCCCGTCTGACATTGTGTCTCCAGTTCAGTGAGCCGCCCGTCTGACAGTGTGTCGTGTCTCCAGTTCAGTGAGCCGCCCGTCGGATAGTGTGTCTCCAGTTCAGTGAGCCGCCCGTCTGACAGTGTGTCGTGTCTCCAGCTCAGTGAGCCGCCCGTCTGACAGTGTGCCTCCAGTTCAGTGAGCCGCCCATCTGACAGTGTGTCTCCAGCTCAGTGAACCGCCCGTCTGACAGTGTGTCTCCAGCTCAGTGAGCCGCCCGTCTGACAGTGTGTCGTGTCTCCAGTTCAGTGAGCCGCCCGTCTGACAGTGTGTCGTGTCTCCAGCTCAGTGAGCCGCCCGTCTGACAGTGTGTCTCCAGTTCAGTGAGCCGCCCGTGTGACAGCGTGTCGTGTCTCCAGCTCAGTGAGCCGCCCGTCTGACATTGTGTCTCCACCTCAGTGAGCCGCCCATCTGACAGTGTGTCGTGTCTCCAGCTCAGTGAGCCGCCCGTGTGACAGCGTGTCGTGTCTCCAGTTCAGTGAGCCGCCCGTCTGACATTGTGTCTCCAGTTCAGTGAGCCGCCCGTCTGACAGTATGTCTCCAGTTCAGTGAGCCGCCCGTCTGACAGTGTGTCTCCAGTTCAGTGAGCCGCCCGTCTGACAGCGTGTCTCCAGTCCAGTGAGCCGCCCGTCTGGCAGTGTGTCGTGTCTCCAGCTCAGTGAGCCGCCCGTCTGACAGTGTGTCGTGTCTCCAGCTCAGTGAGCCGCCCCTCTGACAGTGTGTCTCCAGCTCAGTGAGCCGCCCGTCTGACAGTGTGTCGTGTCTCCAGCTCACTGAGCCGCCCGTCTGACAGTGTGTCGTGTCTCCAGCTCAGTGAGCCGCCCGTCTGACAGTGTGTCTCTAGCTCAGTGAGCCGCCCGTCTGACAGTGTGTCTCCAGTTCAGTGAGCCGCCCGTCTGACAGTGTGTCTCCAGCTCAATGAGCCGCCCGTCTGACAGTGTGTCGTGTCTCCAGCTCAGTGAGCCGCCCGTCTGACAGTGTGTCGTGTCTCCACCTCAGTGAGCCGCCCGTCTGACAGTGTGTCTCCAGCTCAGTGAGCCGCCCGTCTGACAGTGTATCGTGTCTCCAGCCCAGTGAGCCGCCCGTCTGACAGTGTGTCTCCAGTTTAGTGAGCCGCCCGTCTGACAGTGTGTCGTGTCTCCACCTCAGTGAGCCGCCCGTCTGACAGTGTATCGTGTCTCCAGTTCAGTGAGCCGCCCGTCTGACAGTGTGTCGTGTCTCCAGCTCAGTGAGCCGCCCGTCTGACAGTGTGTCGTGTCTCCAGTTCAGTGAGCCGCCCGTCCGACAGTGTGTCTCCAGCTCAGTGAGCCGCCCGTCTGACAGTGTGTCTCCAGCTCAGTGAGCCGCCCGTCTGACTGTGTGTCGTGTCTCCAGCTCAGTGAGCGGCCCGTCTGACAGTGTGTCTCCAGTTCAGTGAGCCGCCCGTCTGACAGTGTGTCGTGTCTCCAGCTCAGTGAGCCGCCCGTCTGACAGTGTGTCGTGTCTCCAGCTCAGTGAGCCGCCCGTCTGACAGTGTGTCTCCAGTTCAGTGAGCCGCCCGTCTGACAGTGTGTCGTGTCCCCAGCTCAGTGAGCCGCCCGTCTTACAGTGTGTCTCCAGCTCAGTGAGCCGCCCGTCTGACAGTGTGTCTCCAGCTCAGTGAGCCGCCCGTCTGACAGTGTGTCTCCAGTTCAGTGAGCCGCCCGTCTTACAGTGTGTCTCCAGCTCAGTGAGCCGCCCGTCTGACAGTGTGTCGCCAGCTCAGTGAGCCGCCCGTCTGACAGTGTGTCTCCAGTTCAGTGAGCCGCCCGTCTTACAGTGTGTCTCCAGCTCAGTGAGCCGCCCGTCTGACAGTGTGTCGCCAGCTCAGTGAGCCGCCCGTCTGACAGTGTGTCGTGTCTCCAGCTCAGTGAGCCGCCCGTCTGACAGTGTGTCATGTCTCCAGCTCAGTGAGCCGCCCGTCTGACAGTGTGTCTCCAGCTCAGTGAGCCGCCCGTCTGACAGTGTGTCGTGTCTCCAGTTCAGTGAGCCGCCCGTCTGACAGTGTGTCGTGTCTCCAGCTCAGTGAGCCGCCCGTCTGACAGTGTGTCTCCAGTTCAGTGAGCCGTCCGTCTGACAGTGTGTCTCCAGCTCAGTGAGCCGCCCGTCTGACAGTGTGTCGTGTCTCCAGTTCAGTGAGCCGCCCGTCTGACAGTGTGTCGTGTCTCCAGCTCAGTGAGCCGCCCGTCTGACAGTGTGTCGTGTCTCCAGCTCAGTGAGCCGCCCGTCTGACAGTGTGTCGTGTCTCCAGTTCAGTGAGCCGCCCGTCTGACAGTGTATCGTGTCTCCAGTTCAGTGAGCCGCCCGTCTGACAGTGTGTCGTGTCTCCAGCTCAGTGAGCCGCCCGTGTGACAGCGTGTCGTGTCTCCAGCTCAGTGAGCCGCCCGTCTGACAGTGTGTCGTGTCTCCAGTTCAGTGAGCCGCCCGTCTGACAGTGTGTCTCCAGTTCAGTAAGCCGTCCGTCTGACAGTGTGTCTCTAATGCAGTGAGCCGCCCGTCTGACAGTGTGTCGTGTCTCCAGCTCAGTGAGCCGCCCGTCTGACAGTGTGTCGTGTCTCCAGCTCAGTGAGCCGCCCGTCTGACAGTGTCTCCAGCTCAGTGAGCCGCCCGTCTGACAGTGTGTCTCCAGCTCAGTGAGCCGCCCGTCTGACAGTGTGTCGTGTCTCCAGTTCAGTGAGCCGCCCGTCTGACAGTGTGTCGTGTGTCCAGCTCAGTGAGCCGCCCGTCTGACAGTGTGTCGTGTCTCCAGCTCAGTGAGCCGCCCGTCTGACAGTGTGTCGTGTCTCCAGTTCAGTGAGCCGCCCGTCTGACAGTGTGTCTCCAGTTCAGTGAGCCGCCCGTCTGACAGTGTGTCGTGTCTCCAGCTCAGTGAGCCGCCCGTGTGACAGCGTGTCGTGTCTCCAGTTCAGTGAGCTGCCCGTCTGACAGTGTGTCTCCAGTTCAGTGAGCCGTCCGTCTGACAGTGTGTCGTGTCTCCAGTTCAGTGAGCCGCCCGTCTGACAGTGTGTCGTGTCTCCAGCTCAGTGAGCCGCCCGTCTGACAGTGTGTCGTGTCTCCAGCTCAGTGAGCCGCCCGTCTGACAGTGTGTCTCCAGTTCAGTGAGCCGCCCGTCTGACAGTGTGTTGTGTCTCCAGCTCAGTGAGCCGCCCGTCTGACAGTGTGTCTCCAGCTCAGTGAGCCGCCCGTCTGACAGTGTGTCGTATCTCCAGCTCAGTGAGCCGCCCGTCTGACAGTGTGTCGTGTCTCCAGTTCAGTGAGCCGCCCGTCGACAGTGTGTCTCCAGTTCAGTGAGCCGCCCGTCTGACAGAGTGTCTCCAGTTCAGTGAGCCGCCCGTCTGACAGTGTGTCGTGTCTCCAGCTCAGTGAGCCGCCCGTCTGACAGTGTGTCTCTAGTTCAGTGAGCCGCCCGTCTGAGTGTGTCGTGTCTCTTGTTCAGTGAGCCGCCCGTCTGACAGTGTGTCTCCAGCTCAGTGAGCCGCCCGTCTGACTGTGTGTCGTGTCTCCAGCTCAGCGAGCGGCCCGTCTGACAAGTGTGTCTCCAGTTCAGTGAGCCGCCCGTCTGACAGTGTATCGTGTCTCCAGTTCAGTGAGCCGCCCGTCTGACAGTGTGTCGTGTCTCCAGCTCAGTGAGCCGCCCGTCTGACAGTGTGCCGTGTCTCCAGTTCAGTGAGCCGCCCGTCTGACAGTGTATCGTGTCTCCAGTTCAGTGAGCCGCCCGTCTGACAGTGTGTCGTGTCTCCAGCTCAGTGAGCCGCCCGTGTGACAGCGTGTCGTGTCTCCAGCTCAGTGAGCCGCCCGTCTGACAGTGTGTCGTGTCTCCAGTTCAGTGAGCCGCCCGTCTGACAGTGTGTCTCCAGTTCAGTAAGCCGTCCGTCTGACAGTGTGTCTCTAATGCAGTGAGCCGCCCGTCTGACAGTGTGTCGTGTCTCCAGCTCAGTGAGCCGCCCGTCTGACAGTGTGTCGTGTCTCCAGCTCAGTGAGCCGCCCGTCTGACAGTGTCTCCAGCTCAGTGAGCCGCCCGTCTGACAGTGTGTCTCCAGCTCAGTGAGCCGCCCGTCTGACAGTGTGTCGTGTCTCCAGTTCAGTGAGCCGCCCGTCTGACAGTGTGTCGTGTGTCCAGCTCAGTGAGCCGCCCGTCTGACAGTGTGTCGTGTCTCCAGCTCAGTGAGCCGCCCGTCTGACAGTGTGTCGTGTCTCCAGTTCAGTGAGCCGCCCGTCTGACAGTGTGTCTCCAGTTCAGTGAGCCGCCCGTCTGACAGTGTGTCGTGTCTCCAGCTCAGTGAGCCGCCCGTGTGACAGCGTGTCGTGTCTCCAGTTCAGTGAGCTGCCCGTCTGACAGTGTGTCTCCAGTTCAGTGAGCCGTCCGTCTGACAGTGTGTCGTGTCTCCAGTTCAGTGAGCCGCCCGTCTGACAGTGTGTCGTGTCTCCAGCTCAGTGAGCCGCCCGTCTGACAGTGTGTCGTGTCTCCAGCTCAGTGAGCCGCCCGTCTGACAGTGTGTCTCCAGTTCAGTGAGCCGCCCGTCTGACAGTGTGTTGTGTCTCCAGCTCAGTGAGCCGCCCGTCTGACAGTGTGTCTCCAGCTCAGTGAGCCGCCCGTCTGACAGTGTGTCGTATCTCCAGCTCAGTGAGCCGCCCGTCTGACAGTGTGTCGTGTCTCCAGTTCAGTGAGCCGCCCGTCGACAGTGTGTCTCCAGTTCAGTGAGCCGCCCGTCTGACAGAGTGTCTCCAGTTCAGTGAGCCGCCCGTCTGACAGTGTGTCGTGTCTCCAGCTCAGTGAGCCGCCCGTCTGACAGTGTGTCTCTAGTTCAGTGAGCCGCCCGTCTGAGTGTGTCGTGTCTCTTGTTCAGTGAGCCGCCCGTCTGACAGTGTGTCTCCAGCTCAGTGAGCCGCCCGTCTGACTGTGTGTCGTGTCTCCAGCTCAGCGAGCGGCCCGTCTGACAAGTGTGTCTCCAGTTCAGTGAGCCGCCCGTCTGACAGTGTATCGTGTCTCCAGTTCAGTGAGCCGCCCGTCTGACAGTGTGTCGTGTCTCCAGCTCAGTGAGCCGCCCGTCTGACAGTGTGCCGTGTCTCCAGTTCAGTGAGCCGCCCGTCTGACAGTGTGTCGTGTCTCCAGCTCAGTGAGCCGCCCGCCTGACAGTGTGTCTCCAGTTCAGTGAGCCGTCCGTCTGACAGTGTGTCTCCAGCTCAGTGAGCCGCCCGTCTGACAGTGTGTCGTGTCTCCAGTTCAGTGAGCCGCCCGTCTGACAGTGTGTCGTGTCTCCAGCTCAGTGAGCCGCCCGTCTGACAGTGTGTCGTGTCTCCAGCTCAGTGAGCCGCCCGTCTGACAGTGTGTCTCCATTTCAGTGAGCCGCCCGTCTGACAGTGTGTCGTGTCCCCAGCTCAGTGAGCCGCCCGTCTTACAGTGTGTCTCCAGCTCAGTGAGCCGCCCGTCTGACAGTGTGTCTCCAGTTCAGTGAGCCGCCCGTCTGACTGACAGTGTGTCGTGTCTCCAGCTCAGTGAGCCGCCCGTCTGACAGTGTGTCTCCAGTTCAGTGAGCCGCCCGTCTTACAGTGTGTCTCCAGCTCAGTGAGCCGCCCGTCTGACAGTGTGTCGCCAGCTCAGTGAGCCGCCCGTCTGACAGTGTGTCGTGTCTCCAGCTCAGTGAGCCGCCCGTCTGACAGTGTGTCGTGTCTCCAGCTCAGTGAGCCGCCCGTCTGACAGTGTGTCTCCAGCTCAGTGAGCCGCCCGTCTGACAGTGTGTCGTGTCTCCAGTTCAGTGAGCCGCCCGTCTGACAGTGTGTCGTGTCTCCAGCTCAGTGAGCCGCCCGCCTGACAGTGTGTCTCCAGTTCAGTGAGCCGTCCGTCTGACAGTGTGTCTCCAGCTCAGTGAGCCGCCCGTCTGACAGTGTGTCGTGTCTCCAGTTCAGTGAGCCGCCCGTCTGACAGTGTGTCGTGTCTCCAGCTCAGTGAGCCGCCCGTCTGACAGTGTATCGTGTCTCCAGCTCAGTGAGCCGCCCGTCTGACTGTGTGTCGTGTCTCCAGTTCAGTGAGCCGCCCGTCTGACAGTGTATCGTGTCTCCAGTTCAGTGAGCCGCCCGTCTGACAGTGTGTCGTGTCTCCAGCTCAGTGAGCCGCCCGTGTGACAGCGTGTCGTGTCTCCAGCTCAGTGAGCCGCCCGTCTGACAGTGTGTCGTGTCTCCAGTTCAATGAGCCGCCCGTCTGACAGTGTGTCTCCAGTTCAGTAAGCCGTCCGTCTGTCAGTGTGTCTCTAATGCAGTGAGCCGCCCATCTGACAGTGTGTCTCCAGCTCAGTGAGCCGCCCGTCTGACAGTGTGTCTCCAGCTCAGTGAGCCGCCCGTCTGACAGTGTGTCGTGTCTCCAGATCAGTGAGCCGCCCGTCTGACAGTGTGTCGTGTCTCCAGCTCAGTGAGCCGCCCGTCTGGCAGTGTGTCGTGTCTCCAGCTCAGTGAGCCGGCCGTCTGACAGTGTGTCGTGTCTCCAGTTCAGTGAGCCGCCCGTCTGACAGTGTGTCTCCAGTTCAGTGAGCCGCCCGTCTGACAGTGTGTCGTGTCTCCAGCTCAGTGAGCCGCCCGTGTGACAGCGTGTCGTGTCTCCAGTTCAGTGAGCCGCCCGTCTGACAGTGTTTCTCCAGTTCAGTGAGCCGTCCGTCTGACAGTGTGTCGTGTCTCCAGTTCAGTGAGCCGCCCGTCTGACAGTGTGTCGTGTCTCCAGCTCAGTGAGCCGCCCGTCTGACAGTGTGTCGTGTCTCCAGCTCAGTGAGCCGCCCGTCTGACAGTGTGTCTCCAGTTCAGTGAGCCGCCCGTCTGACAGTGTGTCGTGTCTCCAGCTCAGTGAGCCGCCCGTCTGACAGTGTGTCTCCAGTTCAGTGAGCCGCCCGTCTTACAGTGTGTCTCCAGCTCAGTGAGCCGCCCGTCTGACAGTGTGTCGTATCTCCAGCTCAGTGAGCCGCCCGTCTGACAGTGTGTCGTGTCTCCAGTTCAGTGAGCCGCCCGTCGACAGTGTGTCTCCAGTTCAGTGAGCCGCCCGTCTGACAGAGTGTCTCCAGTTCAGTGAGCCGCCCGTCTGACAGTGTGTCGTGTCTCCAGCTCAGTGAGCCGCCCGTCTGACAGTGTGTCTCCAGCTCAGTGAGCCGCCCGTGTGACAGCGTGTCGTGTCTCCAGTTCAGTGAGCCGCCCGTCTGACAGTGTGTCTCCAGCTCAGTGAGCCGCCCGTCTGACAGTGTGTCGTGTCTCCAGCTCAGTGAGCCGCCCGTCTGACTGTGTCTCCAGTTCAGTGAGCCGCCCGTCTGACAGTGTGTCTCCAGTTCAGTGAGCCGCCCGTCTGACAGTGTGTCGTGTCTCCCCCACAGCGGCGCGCGGTTCAGTTTGCCGACCCGCCCGTCTCGGAGAGCGTGGAGATCCCGCGGGCCGGTCGGCCGCCGCTGCGCGCCTCTCGCGGCCGCGGCCGGCGCGGCCTCAGGATGGAGCCGTCACAGGACTTTGAGGAGTCGCCCCCGGCGGCGTGCGGCGACTCGGCGGGCCTGTGCCCGGCGCTGGCCGACTGCACGGACAGCGTAGCCGAGCTGGTGGACCGGCTGACGTCTGCCTCGTGGCGCACGGGCCTGGTGCGGCTGCTGTCGGCACGCGGCGTCAGCACGGTGGGACAGCTGGCCAGACTGCCGCCGGCGCAGCTGGCCGACCTGCCGTTCCGCTCGCCGCGCGTGGAGACGGTGACGGCGGCACTCAGCGGCTACCTGGCCGTCCGGCAGCAGAGGTCAGTGCCCGACTGCGGACAGACTAGGGCAGACAGACTGGGAAGGACTGGCGGACAGACAGAGAGAGTGGCGGCCAGGTTTTAGTAATTACAACGTTGAACTCGAGCCTATCCGAGTCCATGTCGAGTTTGCTGTTAGCTGGTCATAATGTTTTACGGGAGTCAGGTCTGCCACTAGAATAGCGACAACAGTCCTCAGGTTTTGACTGGGACAGACTGGTGATCTTTTGACATAACTGCTTTAACCAGGAATGTTTACCTTGCTCTTATGACAAAAAGGAAAATTTATATAAAGCCAAACACAAAATTAAGAAACATTTGGATTTGTGGCTTTCTCAACCTGTAATTAATAGTATTCTTAAGACTATTTGTTTTTGAAAATAAGAGACGTATGGTTAACACTTATGAGCATAATTACCGTGTCTATCAAAACAGTGCAAAAAAACATCCAACAGTTGACTTTGGTGCTATATGTCTATCCAATTAATACTGGGACGCGACGGCCCGCAAGCGGCACAGGAAAGAAGTGCGCGGCTCTTGACTTTGTAGATGCTTTCGATCAAAATATTTGGTTCCACTTTAGGTCGGATATGTTTTTGCATGACAGAGTCCCGCTGTTTATCCCTGGCATGGATCGAAACTCTTGTTCCATCTCTTGACTGCCCTGTCGTGCCTGCCCAGGACGGACGCGGCCGGCAGGACGGCGCCCGCAGCGCCACCTGGCGACGTGGAGGAGCCGACACTCGGCGCCGAGGAGGCGACACTCGGCGCCGAGGAGCCGGCACCCGACGGCGAGGGGCCGGCATCCGACCTGGAGGAGCCGACACCCGACGTGGAGGAGCCGACACCCGACCTGAGAGAGCCGACACCCGACCTGGAAGAGCCAGCCCCTGCCGTCGAGCAGGGCCCGGCCACCTGCTGCGCGTCCACGCAGACCTGTTCGCCGGCCCTGGTGGACGCGGCCGCCGGCCCGGCCGCCGCCCTCGCCGTCCTGGCCGCCGTCACCCAGACGCCGCCGCCGCCCGAGCTGCAGTCGGCGGCGCAGCAGACGGCGCCGCCCCAGCTGCGCAGCACCGGCCAGCAGGCGGAGCCGCCGCGCCGCGAGGCGGCCACGGCCACCGATCGGCCGGCGCGGCGTACCGCCGGCGTGCAGACGGCCCGGCCCGCCGGCCGGCACGTCCACGTTCAGGCGGGACCGGCCACGGCCGACGCCGGCACGGCCTGCGAGGTGACCAGCACGCAGGAGGGCGGCACGCAGACCGAGGGCGGTCTGAAGGAGCTGGTGGTTCCCCTGCTGCGGGCCGCCTCACGCGCCGAGCTGCTAGAAATTTGGGTGGCGTGTTTGGCCGAGTGATGGAAGGGGCGTGTCTGACCGAGCGAACGGTGGAGTTGTGGCGTGTTTGGCCGAGTGAGTGTGGAAATAGTGGCGTGTGAAAGTGACGACACTGTCCCGAGTGCTGCTGTGTTAGTGACGATGGCAGAGCTCGCGTCCGTAACGGACCATCGTCCGCTCTTTCAGTTCTTGAAACTCAGTCTGATTCTGTTATTTTAGAATGTAGAGACTTGTGTCATGTTCACACCCACGTCATGCTAGAAGTGCCAAGTAGGATGCACATAAGGCACGCCAGTGTAGCTGCCAACTGGTGGCGAATCCGTGCCAGGAAGGTCCGTGGCGGGCGGTGGATGAGCTTTCGTGTACTGTCGTGATAGCTGATTAACCAGGGCGACTTCGGCGCATCGGACTGTCACAAATAGACGCCGCTCACTCCGTGCTTATCAGTTGGATTGTGCCACTGCTCCCGTAATTGAATAGAGCATTTGTAAGCGTGTCTAATTTATTGTTTCTGCTGAATGGACGGGTTGATCACGGGTGCGGGTGAAAACTGATCGTGAACCTCCTAATCGCGATGTTAACCGCGAACTCCGCCCACCACTCGCCACTGGCCACCGCTGACCTCCCGACATAACAACAACTCTGAAATCCTGACCTGACCCGGACGTGGAATTAGTCCTTGCTGCTCCGTATGGTCAAATGACCTTTGCCAGTGAATTGAGAATGCAAATGTTGCAATAAACGTTGTTCCACGACCCTGGCATAGTTTTGTAACGATGTGACCTTTTGTTACCTGACCCGTACGACCTGACCCGAAGGAAGTGTCGTCATTTAGCAATATGTAGGTGATGGAGCGTTATTGTTGGAAAATTATAAATCGACCAAATATGCGCATTGCGCATGAATAAAAAAGGATCTGCGATCTTGATCTCGGTTCCGATGACTGATGAGATTTCAGCCCAGATTCGGGACACCTCCGATCAAGCTGGAACTCGCACGCAATGTAGACGTGACATGCCCAATCCACAGTCAGAGTCATTCGGTAGCCCTCCCAGCCGTTTGACCTACAAAGGTCAGCACAGGTCACGTCACGTGACCCAGTTTGCATAGCAGTTTATGGCCCTTCCAAGTGGAGCTAGAGCGCTGAAAACGGCACCAAACGAGTCAACGACTCGCATGTATCTGATCTTACTTTCGTGAGCTTTCGTTTGGTACCATTTTTGTTTCCGTAGTTCCTATATCAACGGAGTTAGGCGGGGGGGGGGGGGGGGTAAATATTGTTCCCCAGGGCTGCGGTTGTTGACTTTACCCCCGAGCCCGGCCAAGTTAACCCGCGCCCCACTGGGGGGCTATTCATATCCCCTCCCGTTTTTCTACAATAACTTCTAAACCACTTGACGTATCGCCGCCAAACTTTCAGTACCTTCGGCCCCAGTAAACATGCCGACGTCGGCCCGACGTCAGCCGACGTCGGGGTGACGTCGGCAACTCGGCATCGGCATGCCGACGTCGGCCCGACGTCGGTCCAACCTCGGCACGACGTCGGCTGGATGTCGGATATGCCCGCATGTTCCGACGTCCAGCCGAGGTCCAGCCGACGTCGGGCCGACGTCGCACTATGTTTTAACTCAGGATCAAAACTGGCCAGGGCTCGTAACTAAGAAACTACAGGGTGTCTCAAAAGTTCGTTTACACATTTCCCATGTCAATAAAGCATATAAGAACCGGTCAAAAATCTAAGGTTTTGGTGTCCGTGTGTACACTAGACAAATATGCATCTTTGACAACTGATTCGGAAGGTTGGAAACCAAACCCTTTGCTGTATCTCCAAAAATATTTGCCCATACCGATTTTCGTCACTCCGTCAGCTGCCGGAGGCTGATAAAAGGTTACCAGCTTTCAAGCTCTTGTAGGGGAATCCCCCGCAGTTTCTGCGTCGGATTTAGGTTTGACGAGCTCCCCGGCAACATCCGCTTCTCCCTGAAAGCCGATAGCTTGCATCGACACCATCCGTGAGTATTTTGTAGGTCTTCTCTGGCGCTAACTCCTTCATGAATGACTGGCGCCGACCTCCCAAGCACCATTTTCCTTTTCAAAACAACCCCATTCCTGAACAAATGGGAAGTGCCAGGGGCAAATTTTTCGCAGCATATCGTAGCAGAATGTGTCGGCCATCTGTTTCTTAGACACATTTTGCAAAATTTGCAAATCCCGAACGCTCGTCATTCCCAATGCCAAGACCTTCGCTGGGTTCCGGAGTGTTTTCCTCAGGAGAGGTTCTGCTTTGTAAACGGCCAAAACCTGTCCATCGTGCGGTTTTGTCCGGATTTTGTGTGTAAAAGAAAGCTATTTGCTCCAGATCTGCCTCTTGAAACTTCGTTAGATAAAATTTTACAATAATTGACACTTTTGGAGGGTCACTTGTCCTCGGCATTGACGATTTTCGCATTATTTTCCCTCAAAATTTAGCGTTATAGATATTATCAACAATTTTAAATGATATTTTGTCTTTATTTTATGATGACCTGCAATTTTTGAAACTGGGTAACCTCTGTCTGTGAGCTTCTAGTCAGTTTTCAATAGTTAGGACTGCATTTTCAGCTGCTTTCCGGAGCACGAGTTTGCTGCGGTACAAGGGTCGTTCAAAGCGCTGTTAGTCTCGCATGGTTTTGTCCTTCAAAAATGTTAGCCACCGTTTTTATTAGATGACCATCATGTTGTACTCATCCTCGCCGACACTTTGCCACGTGTCATTTCCGACCTAACCATTCCAATTACTCGTGAAGCAGAGTTTCTCAGCCGACCCGAGTATGCGACCTCCATTTTCATGCCTGATCCATGGTCAGAGGTGAACCCTTTTTGTGTGCTCATGAAGGGTCGAATGCGCTTGAAAACAATGAAGCTGCTTGAGGAAGGTTGTTACCAATGCCCATGCAAAATTTCGACTGTTAATTTCATGTTGATTCAGAATTATTGACAAAAAAGCATGGCTGGTACCTGTAAGCGAACTTTTGAGACACCCTGTATATGAGATACAGACGTGTTTTTGGGCTCAAACGAAACGTTGGAGACTAACGATCATTTAAGGTGCAAAATGTGTCGGACCAGATGCTTATGTACTTGTTTATGACGTCACAAGTGTCACGAAAAATATACAAATATTGTGTCATATTCTAGCTATGAATGCACGAGCATTTAGGTATCGTAAATTTGTAATCGTATCTGTAAAAGTAATCGTAAGTCTGAGCAAGGCTCATCGACGAGGCAAGCCAAGGTTGAGGACATGACCTTGTTAGTTAGCGTTGATGACCTCAGATGACCTTGAATGCCCTTATATAGGACTTATTCATATAGGACCTACAATCTTTATATTTATTTCAAAAACATTTTCAAACGTATGTTTTGATATCAACTTGATGTTAACCCTGTCTCCACTTTAGTAGGTAAGTCCAGAGTCCTGTATGTTTTACGGCACATGACGTCAGGGGCGGATCCAGCTAATCCGTTTGGAGAGGGCAAAAGTTTCCGACCCATTCGGTGACCTCGACCCACCGCCGCGCCGGTGCTTTTACAACGCTTCACTACGTCTGCAATCTGCATGTGTGCAGTTCAGGGAGTTCCATCTGTTATCAGCATACCGACCTAAACAATGAGCAGCGAGCGGTCAGCTCCGTCCCTCAAAATGATTGTGATAAAAAGACCTGCTTTTCGTCCAGATAGGCATCGACGCTGTATTATATTTCTCATCACCAAAAGCTTTGGGAGCGGCAAAAGGATAGTCTTGCCCACACTATTCAGATATGGGGAGGGCAAATACCCAGCTATGCCCTTCACTGGATCCGTCATGCATGACGTGAAATGGTAGAATGCAGGGCTGCGGAGTCGATGGATTTTCGGCGACTCCGACTCCGACTCCGACTCCGGCTTTCAAAAACCAGCTCCGACTCCGACTCCGACTCCGGGCAGAATTGTCGACTCCGACCGACTCCAACTCCCGACTCCGACTCCGCAGACCTAGCAGGGCTGCGGAGTCGACAGATTTTCGGTGACTCCGACTCCGACTCCGGCTCGGGTTTCTAAAATCGACTCCGACTCCGACTCCGACTCCGGTCACAACTGTCGACTCCGACCGACTCCGACTCCGACTCCGACTCCGACTCCGCAGCCCTGGTAGAATGTATCCCAAAACTTCTTACCAATTCCTATTGTATGGTGCGTTATGTAACATGCAACGTGCATGTAAAAGCACTTCATTGTCATACTAATTGACGCTTACTGCTGCAAACTGATGCTTTTTTCATAAAGGTGGACAGCACTAATGGTACCATACCACCTACATCGAACGTAGTAATACTGACTGAAGCGGCCGATGGTAACCCTGCCGAACGCAAAAAGGTAATGGACGACCAAAAGCCGATCATCGTGATCAGCGGTCTGTGTCAGGTCTCATAGTCACCTTTCAGCTCAAAGTCCCATCTTAAACTGGGCACAATGAATATTTAGGTAATTGCGCTTCATCAGGCACTAAATATGTTTATAAACTATCAAGGAAGCATCTGTAGCGACCATATAGCTCCAGAGCCCATCTATGAATTTACTGCAATAGCCATGGGGTGGAAGGTTCCTGTTATAGACCTATAGGTAGGGGAGAGCGGGGCCAGTTGAACCACTTTTTATATATTGACATGCACAGCGAGATCTAGTAGTCATATCGAAAAATGCACAATGCCATGAAAAAATATGCTCTTTTGGCTTTATTTTAAGAAATGTAAAATTATGTTTCAAACATATTTTGCTGCCAAACGCATGCTTATAAAACAGCTCTACGCCCGTTTCAAATGACCCCGATGCGAGGGTCAATTGAACCAGCCCATGGGGTCAATTGCACCTATCCTTAACCCGCGCCCTGATGGGGGGGGGGGCCATTTTGGCCCCCCCTGTGGTTTTTCTTAAATAGCGAAAAAACGGCGGCGCGCAGCGCCGCCAAATTTTGGGTACCTTACCGGGCATCAATTTGACACCTTCACACAAAATTTCAAGTCACAGGTCACCTCAGGTCAGGAGTTATTGAGGTCAAACTGAGGTCATGTTCGAGCAAAAATGAGCAAAAAACATGACATCTTGAAACGCTCACCCATTCTACAGTTAACAAGCAATTTTAAAGTTCTTTATGTGGTTGTGTAGAGAAAAGACGGCGCTACAAAACTGCTATCTCGGATTTTCGAAATTTTGGGATTTTGACCCCTAAAAATCAAAAAAATTGATTTTTTTAGAAAAACTCGAAAAATTTCCAAAAAAGTTTCGAATTTCGAAAAAACCGGAATATATGTGATAGTCCCTGCGCTCTTCGATATACATACCAAATTTTATATCGATACCTCTTTTTTTGGTTAAGTTATAGCGAAAAAAACTGTTAAAAATTGATGACGTCAAATTTTTGAACTCAATTTTTAGCAATTCTAGACCTCGTAGCGCAAAACGGAGACCACCATTGAACTCCCCGTGACGAGCTGCATCGAATCGATACCCATTTTATGCAAAAATATCAACTTTGAAATTTGACCTAATTTGACCTGACCTTGACCTGACCTTGACCTGAACTTGACCAAAACGTGACCTAAGCTGGCCCTAAAGTCTGTCTGACCCACATAATCGCATTTGTCATGTAAAATGGACCATAAAACATGTATCACACGACACTTTCATATTGTGACCCCCCAGTGACCTGACCTCTGTGACCTGACCTGGTATCAGTGAC